TTTTAGTTTCTGCTAGATGTATGAATCAAAGCTCTTCCAAATTCCTAGGCAGGAATTTATTTTCCGTTCTTTTCTGTTGCATATCTTCTACACCACATTCAGCCCACAGGAACTTGGAAGAACCGACGGCTAATTTGTGTGCTACATTCGTGTCAGAAGAGGTGGGAGAGTTCTGAGAACAGGAGCCATCGTGATAGGAAATCAAACTGCTATAAATAAAGCAAACTGAATGGCAGTCAATGGGGAATGCTCATGTACTGGGGTACGCTGATGAAAGAATTCTGTTTGGGCTTTCACTGCAGCACTGCCACTTCACTTCTATGAATGTCGTAAATGAAGAACATCAAGGGCTAGCTAGGGCTGAGGGATCGGAGATGCCACATCCATTTTTTCACAGTGTCTTGGAGATAGGAACTTTGCTATTTTTTTAAAATTATTTTTTTTAAAAACACAGTAACACCTAAAATTAGGTAATGGCACTGGATCTCAATTGCCAGCACAGGTCCCCAGTGTGATGAAGACACCCCTTTCCCTACTAGTGCTTCTTTTGTTTTGGCTCCGCATGTGGTAGACAGAAACCAAGTTCCTGATGTTTGAGAGATGGACACCTCTAGCCACCAGTAATAGAGTGTTTAAAGAAACAAAGGGGAACTAGTAAAAAAAAATTGGAAAGCTTTAATTTACATGATCAGAATGCTTGTGAAGCAAATGTCTGTAATGAGAGGTGACAAGCAAGCCTCTGCACACAGGCCAGAATGTGGTGGAGAAGACATTCCCACTGAATTTCTGAAGTGTTTTGAAGCCGCATATCCTCTCAGCAGACATGGCTCTTGCCAAAGAATACCATGGAAAGGAGTCTTTCTCTTCCATTACATCTCACTATATCCTGTTCTTAAGTCACTGCCAACCAATAAAAGCAAAGCTTCCAGCAAGTTGATAAAAGAAAAAAAAAGAAAGAAAAAAAATGGAAAAGAAATGAAAAGGACAGGGACAGGGAGGAGAGGAAGGACAAGGATGAAAAATACGAACCCCTTTCTACTGGCCTGACACAGAGACTTTCCAGATCATTCTAGCTGTCACATGGACACACCTGGAGGGCACCAACACACGGAAGGACCTTGGCATTCCACATTTTCCAGACATAAAACATATTGAACATCCTTGATTTCTGTTTGCTTATTGACTTTAAGTGTAGCCCACTGCCTCTGGGGCTTGTCCAGAACCACTCCCATGTCCTTATCGGGCCAGCGTCTTAACGTCTGCGGAGTGGCCGGACCACGGGCACATACACACGGGTTCCCGTGTAGGGTGCTTGGGTGTATGTACGAAGGCACTGATGCGGTTTTAGAGAAATTGCAGGCAGCAGCCCCACCCACTCCCTGTACGTGTCGAGTGGGAGTTTCTTTCCCACCAGGAAGCTTAGATGTTTGAGAGAAGCGGTGGTCATGCGTGGGGACTCTGACCCCGGGCCCCAGGAGGGAATACAAAAGGAGAGTTCGACATCACCCAGAACTGAAAGGAAACACTCCACATCTCGGGCTGAGGGACGGGGATAGTTAAGCAGCAGATCTTTAAAACAGCGTTTAAAATGAGCACAACAGTGGCTGGGAGCAAAAAAAGTAAAATCACTTGTTCCTTATTAAATTCTATTATTTTCTCCTCCTGCCATAACAAATGGAGGTAAGACAGACATTCTTCATTAATAGAACAGTCCATAGATATTTTTCCTCTAGTAATGCCTATATTTAAAATTTGTTCCAAAAGTTATTAACCTATATTTCTTAACTCTTTACATAGATTCTCAGCAATCCAACGGTACTATTTTACAGATTAGAGTTACTTTTTTTTTTTTAAGTTGTTGGGTTTTTTTCTTTCTTTCTTTCGTTGCTAGGGCTGGGGGAAGGGAGAAGGGTTCCTTTAACAAAAATAAAAAATTAGTAGGAGAGATTCCAGTTCAGTCTCAAATGGAAAGGAACTAAGTGATGGAATTTCCATTTATATACACCAAACACTCTCCCATTAAATCACACACAATGTCAAATAAATCCGTGATAGAGCACTTAGAAAGCTCAATCCTTCTCCCGCATTTTTAAAGATAATGAATTTACCTGTTGCTGCTAAATTGATCATTTTTAAAAAATATTTATTTCTACATGTTTAAAAGGTGTGATTCCCCAGTATGACAATAACGTTTGGAGACTTCTCTTTTTACATTTTTTTTTTTACGTAAAAATTTTTTAAACTTTTTGAAGTTTCAGGAACTTGTAAAAGTTTATTAACAGGAAAGAAACAGCTGTCTATCTAGGATAAGATACGGTTAAATAAACCCATCTTCAAAAAACTGGCTTCCTACCCTAGAATTCCTGAGAATGCTTGCAAATTTTAAAGCAGGAAAATAAATGTTAAAAACGAAAAACAAAAAACACTGTTAAATGCTCCCAGAGTTAGTCTTCATCTAAAATATATATTTATATGTATATATATATGTCTATGTATATATATACGCACTTTTTGGTCTTTTTAAAAAGTTTTAAATTTTTTCCCTTTAAGCTTATGATGGAAGAACATTTTAGCTTCTCGTGTTAATTTTACATATTTCAAATCCCTCAGTATGTCTTGTAAACAAGAGGGGCTCTAGCACCCGGCTTTCACCGTAGTATCGTAAGGAACTCAACTAACCCATAGTGCAGGTCAAGGAACCAACAGGCTGGAAGGGTGGAAGGTGGGGCAGGACAGGCGGGAAACCAGAATGGCAGGGTCACCACTGGCTCTCGGAGCCTCGGGACTCGCTCCTCGCCTAGCCCGGGGACGCTAAGAGCTAGCCTTCTGGAGACGTCTGGCCACGGCTGCTCTTCGCCCGGAGCCGCCACATGGCAGGGCTGTGCTCCGCACACAGAGCAGCAGAGGGCCGGGAGGAGACACTGTACGTGGGCGGAGGTGGAAGGGGCATGGTGGTGATGAAAACCGAGAGCAGGAGGAGGGCACGGTTAGTTTCTACAAGGCATCCAATGGACCAAACCAACGCTGGCAACTCAAGTTTGACCACCTACCCACGAAGGGTCCGTGATGACTTGGGTGAGCCGCCGCTCACTTGAATCATGCGTGTCAATCTCTTTACAGGCTAGGTTCATGATCAACAGGGCAAGCCGAGAGGACTACAGAATTCCCGTTCTTTGTCTCACAAAACCACTTGAGTTCTTGCCTTTTCCTATACACACCCACCCACCCACCTACACAAATACACGAGCTAAAAGTCAAATACATTAGGCATTGTTATATCCTTCACTGAAGATGCTAAAGAAAGAAAAACTCCTTTGTCCTCACTAGCAGCAAGTTACGGAGGACAGTAGAGGTCTGCTCCCACCAAGGGCTGGAATGGGCAGGTATTTGCTGGTACAGAATGTCGGCACTTTATGTTAAACAGTATAATGCAGATTGGGATGTTCACACAAGTGCTAGCACGTTACCGGCCTACAACTCCCCTCCCCCCACCCCACCCCTCCCGCCATCTGCTCTGTATAAAGGGGTACCCCCTCAGGGCTGCAATAACTCTTCACAAAAAGCAGTTTGATACATTTTGATTCCAACATAAGTACATACATGTTGGTGATAACTGTGGATTAAAAGATGCCTCCTATTCGGCCCAGAGTACTATTACATTGATGCTTAAAAAAAAAAAAAAAGTTCTTTAAATACCAAAATAAAAAAAGCAACATTATAAGGAAAAAAAAAAAAAAGTCAAAACCCAAAAAAGGTGCAATACTTAAAAGTCTTTGCTAAGTTATACCTGCCTAAGCAATACCACATACACAGGAAATACACGACATGGAGGAACAAAAGGAAACGCTTGAAGTACACACTGGTTTAAGAACATTCGTTAAGTAAACGTTTCTGTCAGTGATGGCCTGGTGCTGTAACACGCCACGGCCTGGCACAGGTAACGCTCAGCGAGAGAGCAGCAGAGAGGGAGGAGCTGCGGATGCTTACAGGAGGCTGCCCACAACTTACATTTTTCCGTTTCCGTAAAATGAGAGAGAGAATAGAAATGTTGGACTCAGCATCACCTGACTTTCTGATGAATTTCTCATACCTGATTACACAAGAAAGGAGGGGAACACAGTTTTCCTGCTTTTGAGACATCACGTAATTAAAAACTAACTTATCATCTGTTCCCATTCAGAGTCATGAAAAGGCCTGTGTAAAACTTAACGGAGATTCAGATTGCCCTAGTGGCCACTTGTTTTAAAAAAACAGAAATAAACAAACACACAGCTGCTCCCAGAGGTACCTCCTGCTCTCCTAAATTTTTGGACTTGGCAGTGCTCCGCGCTACTGCCAGGTCAAAAGAAAAGCTGGAGAAAACTCACACTCAGGCTGATTTGCAGATGGAAAGGAGCTCTCTGCTTTCACCATCCAAAAGCACTCTGCTCATTCTGATGCAGTCCAAAGGAGTTGCTTTAGCAGCAGTGGCTCTCCGTGCTTGTGTGTTCTCATAGTTAAAAAAAATGATAATAAAAGTAAAAAGCAGATGGCCGGCCAGCCAGCCTATGGACTGTCAGCAACGCAGCTTTCTGAGAAATCAGGGTCAGGAAGGAGGAGGAGGCAGAAGAGGACACAGGCACACACGCGCACACACACAGAGACAGAGAGACAGAGAGAAGGATGCACGCGAATGCACATGAACACACGTGCACACACATACCAGAACGAGCATGCCTGGGCAGTTACATGTGCCAGAACACACTGGTATTTATCAACCAGCCAATCACAAATTTTTCCTTTTTTTTTTTTTTTTTTTAGGTTTTTTTGTTTTTGTTTTTAAAGTGAGGCTCCGTCAAGTCTTCCCTCCCCCACCCCAACAATTCTTTTGAATTCCCCTCCCTCCCAAACATGGTAGACCTAAGGACGGAAACACACCCAGTGCAAACAAAGTTAAAAAGCTATTTTTCAGTATATATGTTTCTTAGCAACAACTTCCATATAACATGAAAAAAGTGAAAAACTAGAAACTAATTTTTTTTAATGTTTTTTGTGTTTAAATTTAAATGGTATGTGTACTTGCTTCACATTGTCTTTCTAGGTTGGCGTTCATGATTCAAGTATTTCAAGAGTGATATGTTCTCTTTTTGGATTCATATTCCAAACGAAAAAACTGAAGTTATAAGGGAGGCAACTATGTGCTCAGACAGTCTGTCAATGACCCACCTTTTTTTTTTTTTTTTCTCTCTCCGTTTTCTTTTTTCCTTTTAAAAATGTATTTATTGCAAGTTGAAAAAAAAAACGAAAAGGTCAAGTTAGTGCTGCTGCTGTTCCAAAAAAGGTCACGAGGTCAGAGTTGAAAGTTCAAAGTTCAGATTGAATCCGACCCTCCTCCTAGAAGGTCACCAGGTAGTAAAGGAGCAGGGCTGCCCATCCTATGGGGATCTTCCACAGCTGGGACTCCCCACAAGCTAGAAGAATAGTTTGGGGGCCCCCACAACGAAGCGCCAGCAAGATCGGCCCCACTGCTGCCGCCAGCACTGCTGCTCCATTGCCCGAGCCCTGTGGACCCACCAAAGAGATTCAGAGCAGGTCCGACGGGATCTGACTGGGTCTGGCTGGTCTCCAGCGACTGCCAACCTGCTGCAGGTGCACTTGGGGTTGCTGCAGGTGTAGGGGGCTGAGCTTGTGCCAGAAAGCGGCTAACTTCATCATCGGTGGCAAACTCAGCCAGGATGGTAGTGTTTCCCAACACACACCTGGAAAAAAAGGGAGAGAAGAACTAAGGATCTGAGGAAAATCCTAAAGCACATGGGGACCGAGCATTTCGAGTCCTTGTTATTCGAAGTGCAGTCCTTTGACTAGAAGCGTTCACATCCCCGGGATGCTTTTCAAAATGCAGGGTTACAGTGTCAGAACCTGCATTTTTACCAGGCCTCTAGGTACTGATTTAAAGCAATGAAATATCACAAAATCTCAAGACATCCAAAGACTATTGGAGGATACTATAGATGGATATCCCTTGATGTGTGAAATTTATATGTCAAGAATAATGTCATTCCCCCACCCACAAGGGAGTTAAAAGATCACACACCAAGCATGAAGGTGACCCAGCTTCAGGCACCTGGAAATGCTGCTCCACCTCAGCGGCAGGCTCACCGCTGGAGCCTCACCGTTACTTGCTTGTTCTGTGCGTAGCTGTTTGTGGTGGCATATGCAGCCACAGGGAGTCAGCTCTTTCTTGTCCACCGGTCTGAGAGTGGCAGGGAAGGGGATGGTCAAAGTCTGATCCAGTCCCACCTACTTGATGCAAAACCCCTGCTGACCATCAAGACCACAATATTCCATCACCCACAAAGAAGCCAGAGCAAGCAGTTAGATAGGATTATAAAAAGACACAGTAATTATGGTTTCACATTTCCATAGATCTTGACCTTTGTTTTACTGTACTTAAAATTTATTCACTACTTCACTCATTTTTCACTTATGGAATCCTCATTATCGACCTGTGATGCACACAGGACAATCCATGCTCAGCAGGTAAAGAAGAGCCACCTTAGTACCGAATAATTGCTATGGGATGGTGCTGTTTTGGGCGTGTTCTCGTGCATCTTTGTTTAATTAAGCAGGTGCCAGAACGTTCATGTGTGCATCTTCCTGCGTACTGGTCTCGGTGAGCATACAGGATGGGTACTCACATGTGCAGTGCAGTTTGGGCCTTGGCTGCCTCCTGTTTGGTGCTGTATCGGATCAGGGCGGTGCCCTGGGTTAGGTTCAGGTGGAATGTCAGCAGTGGGCCATGCTGCATGCAGATGGTTCTCAAGGTTGACCCATCAATCTAAGGAGTAAGACATTTGTGAGATAAAAACTGGAGGTGGGTGTGAAAGGAAGTCAAGTGACCTTTCTTATATATGAGAACGAGAAGAGCTTCTGTCTTGTAAAGAGTATTAGTACTAAAGTCTCAGAGGGATGAATGAAGAACTCAAAATAAAAAGTGCATCAAATACAGACATCTTCAAGATATGCAAAGCATTGGGCAGAGATCTCATGTGCCCATTTTGCAAATTAAAAAGTTTGCACAAGTGCAGCTCAAAACAAAAGCATATGATTCAACCTGTGGTCTATATTCTTTAAGATGTAAAAGTGCTAATTTGTAGAGCTTTAAAAATAATAAAATGCTACCCAAAGAAGAGTTTAAGGAAATACAAAATTTTCAACATCATTACTAATGTCTTCCACCTCCCCAGTTAACAACCTGACAAAGAGCTAGAAAGTCACAAAGAAAGCACTTCTAACCATCTGATGATTTAAGGTACTGACAGCTGTCCAGTTCACAGACTATTCTGATGTCCTCTTTCTCCTATAATACTCTGGCCATCTCAAGGTGAAACTATTTCTACCTTCTGCTCTGTCCTCTGCTGCCCACTGCCAATGGGACCAAAGGTTGTAGTTGCTTGCTCACCTTAGCAAGGATCTTATCACTAAGATGTTCAGTGATTGGGGATAATTGCCCTCACCGATGACTCAAATGAAAAGATCTATTTATTCACTCTGATTAATTTATTTGTATCGAGATCTCAACTCTGTTTATTTAAGCTACTCAATCCAACATTTCAGTTCATTTCTTTGGAAGTGAAACAGATTCCTTTTGGAAGAGCCTTCAAAAGCGCTACTGGCAGCAGCAGTGGGAAACATTCTGTGGTTTTACCATGGAAACCCTGCAGGATGAGACTGGCAGTTTCCCCGTAGCCAGTAGAAAACTAGTGGCCCAGTGCATGGATTCGTGCACACAGAAAGGAAGTCAGAAGAAATATTTTAATATCACTATTCGCCCTTTCTCTATAATAGAAGTGTCAACCAAATTCACGATAGACAATGACAGATGGAAACACACAAAAATACGTGTGCCATCAGCCCCAGCAAGAGCTTTATGTATATAGAATGAACTTCCTTAATTAGACCTGTTTTCTGATTTAGCTAAACCTTTTCCAGCCCAGTGAATCACCCCAACTTCTCTTTCAGGTAACTGTGAGCAACACAGCAGTAAATATCAACCCAAAGCAGATAATTATTGTAGATCACACAGGGAGAACAAAGGGTGAAATATTTAACTGTAGCAGTGTTTGACTATATTCTGTGCAGTGAGAAAACCTGAAGTCATTTTCAAGGTCCACCATTTCTTCTTTTCAGTCGTGTTCTAAACTTTCTAAATCTCCATTTTCTAGCTAATGAAAAGAAGATAGGATTCCACTGAGTCTCCTATCTACCTACTCCAGGACTTCTGTGAGGATCAAATGAGATGAGGCATGGGAAAATGCTTCACAGACATTTGTTAAAGTGTAAAATGTTTGCACCTGGCTATAAAGCAAGTAATGTTCCTGAACTGAAGAAACTCCAAGGGGGCTAGTTGCTAGGGAGAAGCTGGGCATTGCTACGTAACATCATTACCTGGCACCCAAAGCAACCGTTTCTGGGCTGGGCTGGGCTATGGGCCGCATTTTGTGCCTTGGGATCTCAGCAGCATCGGCTGCGATTTGGCAGGCTGTGACTCCAGGGTGGTTGTGGGGCCTGTGTCCCACTTAGGGGAAGCCAAGTATTGCTTTGTGCCAGATCCTTGTAAATGGCAGCTCCTGCGTGGAGCATCTGCTCTCTGGTGGTCAGTGCACATCATAGTGACCGGTTGGACACTTAGCATATTAACCTTTTATATAGAGAAACTATAGGCCCGATGCATGAAATTTGTAAACGGGGCGTGGATCTCACAACTGCGGCAGCTTGCCTCAGCCCTTACTACTCCAGCTTTGTCCGGAAGGTCGTCCAGGAGGATGTCTGGAAGGCTGTTTGGTCTAATTAGCATATTATGCTTTTATTATTATAGATGATTGGAGAAACAGCTCTTAGCATTGTTTTTAAAGTAACAATTGACTGCAGAAGCGTATCAGCATATGCCACTAGTAAATTTTCAGGATAGATGTCTTCCAAAAATATTTTAGGTAATAAAAAGTAAATTTATCTGGGCACCAAAGATTTGATTTTATATAACCTTCTTTTAAACTACAACTAAGATTAGTCTGCTAACTGGCAAGTGTTGATTTTTAAATACAAACACTGCCAACACCTATATTCCTTTTATACACATATATACATACTATTTTTCATATTATAAAATTGGAGTGAAAAATAAAATGGGAGTGAACAGCTGGTTAGCGTGCCCAGTTTCATTTCAACACAGTATATCTCTTCTTTCTTCCTAATCACATTATACACACCACACTTAGTGTGACTACTAAGAAAAAATGAGGAAGCTATAGTTTTGAGGATGATTATAAAAAATCGTCATGCTTTAGTCAACTATTAGCTAAATAACCTGGGGCTTTTGGCTCAGTTATTAGATACTGTGATTAAGAATCAATCCAGTCTCTTCCTCATGTTAATTGTATTCAGGAAACTGCCTTTCTCAGCATGTACCATGAAATACAAGCCTTGGTTTTACTAACAAATTTATGTGTATTTGGTGACAAAAGGGGCCTATCTAACCTTAGATAAGTTCACTGGGCAAATAAATTTAGGAGAAGCTCTATTTCCCCACAGTGGATCGTAACATGTTAGCATATTAAAGGAACTAAAAAGTCTCAGAGTAAAGTAACCTGCTTAATTTTGTTTAATCAAGTATACATTCCCAACATATTAGGCCAGACATCTACTAATACCCCATGGGAACCACTCTGGAAGTGCTAGCTTAGCAAAGTGTACACAAATTCATTTTTTAATTCAATGCTAGACAAATCATTTGGTGTGTCGAAGACAGGGAGGTCTAATTAATCTCTCTTTTTAAAAAATATATTTTTATTGACTTCAGAGAGGAAGGAAGAGGGAGTGATAGAAACATCAATGACGAGAGAATCATCAATCGGCTGCCTCCTGCATGCCCCCTACTAGGGCATGTGCTCTGACTGGGAATAGAACTGTGACCTCCTGGTTCATAGGTCGATGCTCAAACACCGAGCCTCACAGCCGGGCACCTAACTGAGCTCTTTTAACAAGATGCTATAAAGGTTGTGCTGGCAAGTCCAAATGAAGGGTATGGGCTCAGTTTCGATGGGTTCCTTTAACCTCATGTGAATGTTTAACATAATGCTGCTGCAAATATGTCAGTTATCAAAGCAACCAATGTGAAGGGAGGGTGCTCTGGTACAATTGAAGTCCCACCACACTACAAACAACCTAGAGGGCATGTTCTGATGATGGAAAGGAGTGATGCCATCTACACAGAAAAGTATAACACAGAAAAAATCAGAAGTGCCCACGAAGCATTTAAGCCTCATGAAATAGACACATTACTTCTGCAGAGACAGATGGTTAATTATTTATGAAGCAGAAAAAGAGTTAATATCAAGTCTCAAGTCTTTAGTAATTAAAAACAGGTAACTTTTTGCATGTGGTTAAAACACTTAAAATAGCTATCTCGCACTTAGTTCTAGATTCCAACAGGCAAATCTGGTGGGCTGTCACTCCAGGGTGGTGGTGGGGCCTGTGTCCCACTTAGGGGAACCCCAGCATTGCTTTATGGGTGCCAGGTCCTTGTAAATGGCAGCTTCCGCATGGAGCATCTGCCCCCTAGTCGTCAGTGCACGTCATAGTGACTGGTCAGGCACTTAGCATATTAGCCTTTTATATATATATATATATGCTATATAGCAAGTTATCTCTGCTAATCAGAATTCGCTAGGTAATAATGCCCCACTGTCACGATTTTATAAACTACACATGTTAACATCACCATGAAGGCAGGCGTGAAGCTGAGTGGCCAACATCCCCCATTCAGCAGCAGGCTAGACCTCTCTGCAGTGACAGGAAGTAAATTAGTTTTTGTATCTGCCCACATCTCTGAGGTTCTCCCTCTTAACACAATTAAGTTCTATCTAGAAAATCACAAGTATGCATAATTACCTGTGGAGTGAGATTATGAAGAACCAGCCAGTAACTAGGACGAACTGAACCACCATCACTCCAGGTAGAGCCTATAAGCAATCAGAAAACAAGATTAGGAAAAAACACACCGAGAATTTAAAAAGGCATGAGTGAGGACATTTTCATATAGCCCACATGCTTCTTCTTTCCTCGTATAAATCAGTGTCTCTTTTCCATCTCACCCTCACCTTTATCTTGTCACTGAATAGCCAGCTCTCTTCTCTGAGACCTGGATCCCTATGCGTTCTCATGCCTTCTCTAAAAGACAACATTTTCCTCCTAGTGCTCTCACTCTGCCATTTGTCACTTTTATTCCATTAGCACCTTGGGAGTTAGTTCTTGGGTCCCTTTGCCTTACACTGACTGCAATTCTCCACTCAAGGGGTACTTTCGCCTCTACCAGCCAACCTGGATTTCCTCTCTTGTGAAGACTTCATATCTTCACCATTTGTGTTAACATAAGACCTTTGTGTTTGAACAAGGATGCTCCTTTAAGCAGATCCTTCTCACCCGAGGCAAGCCGTGAGTCCTGTGTCCCCCACCCCCTGACTGATCGTGGTGCTGTGCTGCTCCAGGGAGATGATGGTTTGGGGTTGGTCAGACCAGGCGGTGGGCGGGGCAGCGGTGTAGTGTTCCTTGAGGAAATATGGTTCTTCCACATCTTGTTGGAGAGATGAGTGGGGTTGTGTCCTATGGGATCTGGGGACCATGTTGATTTGTAATCAGGGAACTTTGCTGTAAGAAAATTGAGGAAGGAGTAAGGTTAAATCGGTTACTTTTGTCACCTAATACATATAACTTCTGTGCACGCACACACATACACACACATTTGAATTCTAAAAACAGTAAGTGTACATTTAAAAAGCAGCAATGCAAAATAATAGTTTTTGAGCTTACTAAATATAAAAATTTCAATGACTATTACTCTGAATTGGCAAATTAACAAATGGAATACAGCTTTAATAAGATATCCAATTCCCTACTGCTTTCTTAACTAAACACAGCCCGAAAGGGAAGATAAATTGAACAGTATTCCTGAATCCATTAGACTTCTAGATATAGAATATGAAACCTAGCAGAACTAAAACATTCTACAAATTCTTATTGACTTAATGGAAATTACATTAGAAAATTATCCTTGATATCCAGAATATTAGATATCAACATTCAAACAGATTTTTAAAAATATAATCAACAAATATTCTCTAAGGGCTTACTATGCGTTAAGATGCTAAATCAGTGTGTGGGTAATATAGTTATTCCCAAGAACTTCAAGGTCATATGGGAAGACAAAACAGGTGAACAACAAAATTGGTAACCCCAGGCAACATCAGATATGCTCAATACACAGAGAAGAAAGACAATACTGAACTGCCAGCAAAGGCTTTGCAAAGACAGGCCTTGAAGGATTTACATAAACAGATGGGCTCCGAGTTTACACCCATTCTGTACCAAATATGCTTTCCCCCAATTCTGGCAGAACACATTCCACCGGGGCAGAGGGTACAGGAGGCCCTGAAGGTGGGGGGGGGGACTGCCGGAGCGATCAGGAGGGGATTCCCCGTAGGTTCAGTATGTCGTATATAAAGTAGGATCGAAAACCTGGGTGACAGCAAACAGAATGGAACAGAGGCATGGATAAGAGAGGTACAACGACAGACTACACCACTTGGGGACATCATCACTGCCTGGATCCAGGGAACAAGGGAGAAATGAAAGAACAAAACAACACTGACATTTTGTGACTTAGCGATACATGAGCACATCACTAAGAAAAATACAGAGTTTAGTTAAAAAGGAAAGATACATTTTGGAGGTGGGACAGTATATGTTCAGTTTTAGACATATCTGGGCTAATTCTTGGGCCATCTCTCAGGTGAATGTCCAATTATAGACAAAAGATAAATCAGATAAACCTGAGATATGGGCAGTTATAGGAATAAGAGAGTTAGGTGAAAATGGGTTTTTACATGTAAGGAAGAAGTCCTGCAAAAGTATAATGTAGGGCAGTGGTTAAAACATGAAATACTGAGTTGGCTCCTTTATACATTCAGATCTGAGGCAAATTACATTAGCTCTTTGAACCTCAGTTTCTTCATCTACAAAATGCGGTAACACCAGAACCTCCTTACTTTTAGTAAAAGATAAAAATTCATGCTGAGCCCTGGCTTGTGTGGCTCAGTGGTTGGTTGGGTGTGGTCCTGTGCACTGAAAGGTTGCCGGTTTGATCCCCAGTAGGGGGCATGCAGAAGGCAGCTGATCAATGTTTTGTATTACATGAATGTTTCCTTCTCTCCCCCTTTCCCTTCCTCTCTCTTATATAATAAAAAAGAAAAAAAAAAAAAAAAAGAAAAAAAAAGAAAAGCCCTTGCTGGTTTGGCTCAGCGGATAGAGCATCAGCCTGCAGATTCAAGGGTCTCAGGTTTGATTCCAGACAAGGGCACATACCCAGGTTGCTGGCTCGATCTCCAGTAGGGAGCATGCAATCAATGATTCTCTCTCATCATTGATGTTTCTCTCTCTCCCCTCTACCTTACTCTCTGAAATCAATAAAAAAAATTTTACATATATTTTATTGTTTTTTTACAGAGAGGAAGAAGAGAGATAGAGAGCTAGAAACATCGATGAGAGAGAAATATCAATCAGCTGCCTCCTGCACACCCCCCACTAGGGATGTGCCTGCAACCACGGTACATGCCCTTGACCGGAATCGAACCTGGGACCTTTCAGTCCACAGGCTGGCGCTCTATCCACTGATCCAAACCGGCTTCGGCTAAAAAAATATTTTTTAAAAATCAAAAAAGGACCTTAAAAAGAAAAAAATGAAATTTATGCTAATAACAGTGTGGTTATAGCTGGGGAGTAGGTGGAGGTGGGCAAAAGGGGTAAAATGGGGACAAAAGAGACTACTTGGGGCGATCAGCACATGATGCAGTGTGCAGATAATGTCTTCTTGAGTTGTACACTTAAAACCTATATGGTTTTGTGAACGTATGCCTGGCTTACAGGAGCACTCAATAAAATGACAGATTATTGTTGCACTGTTGCTATGACAGCGGTAAAAAGAAAATAATTTGTAAGGTCATTAACCTGCAGTCTTAGTAGGTAGCTAAGGACTTGTTTTATTTACTTTTGCCTAGAGTAGACAAAGAACTGAAGCCGTAATGACTTGAATGGGTTAAGGTCCAACTTTTCCAAGACCAAAGTGACAATTACTAATGATTTCTCTCCCAATCTGTAAGGCATTGTGTTAAGTGAGCAACTTCAAAGACTCTATTATACCCATTATATAGCCATTACTTTTCCATTCCGTAGTCTTCCCCCAAAACAACAAAAAAGGAACTCAACAAAGGTTGTTGGTAGAATTAATCAAGGTCCTCTTGTTTTCCCTTAGCCTTTAAAAATTTATTTATTTATTTTAGAGAGGACAAGGAAAGCAGTGGAGGGGGGGAGGAAAGGAAAGAGAGAGCGAGAGCGAGAACGAGAGTGAGAGAGAGAGAGAGAAAGAAAGAAAGAAAGAGAGGGAGAGATTTGTTGTCCCACTTACTTATGCATCATTGGTGAGACTTGTATGTGTCCTGAGTGGGGATCAAACCCGCAACCTTGGTGTATTGGGACAATGCTCTAAGCAACTGAGCTACCCGGCCAGGGCTGCCCATAGACTTTGTCTGAAAGTGGAAGGACTTTTAGGGAAAAGCAAGCTATAATTGGCTGCCTTAGGAATAACCACCTGGACTTGCCTGGTTCTTCCCGTGGCCCTTGATTCTCCTAGCAGACTGGTTAAAAGGAAAGCACTTGTGCCATCAGGATATAACCTCTGACCTCTTTCAACACTGACAGCTCTCTGTGAATGTATCACCATTTGCTTTGTCCTAAAGCTGTGTCCTCCTGCCCTCCTGACACTACAAGGTCCTCTGGACCATGGTCAATACAGAGTTGTGCCTCCATCCATGCTGACATATTGCTGCTCTTCAACTACTATAAAAGTATTCGCTAAGAAATACATGCCAATTTCCTGTGTAAAAGGAAATAAACAGGTCACACTTATACCTGAAGTGCTATGAACGTTGGTAAAGGAGTTGTCAGAGGCACTGTAGGGCCAGGCACCAGGTGAAGGCAGCGAGGTGTTGAGGGAAGAATTAGACCCTTTGAGTGACAGATGAAAAATAAGATGAAAATATTGCAGATAAATGTCAGTATAACAAATGAAACTTGGAAAAGCTTTATGTTCTTACATTTTCTGGTTAAATTATTAGATAGTAGCAAGTATAAATGAAGCCACAGGTTGACACATTTGAAAATGTTGGGTGTTGAATCATCATCAACACAGGATGCTTGACTTATTTACCTGTGGTGTTATCCCGCAGAAGTTGGTGGTCAGTATCTACAATGGGAGATGTGGCTGTACCCCCCAGCACACTTCCTGGGGTGACATAGGGATCAGATTCAGGGTCAATGTTTTGGATACCTTTCCATGGCACTCCTGGTTGGAATTCTGAGAGAAGAACAACAAGTATTAGAGGTTTTTATTTTAAAACATATTTTTATTAATTTCACAGAGAAAGAGAGCGATAGAAACCTCAATGATAAGAGAGTATTATTGATCAGCTGCCTCCCGCATGCCCCTCTCTGGGGATGAAGCCCACAATCCAGGCATGTGCCTGACTGGGAATCAAATAGTGATCTCCTGGTTCATAGGTCAATACTCAACCACTGAGCCACACTGACCAGGCAAGAGGTAGAAGGCTGTTCAAAAAATGGTACACTAAAGTTATTTTTTGATATAAGAAATAGATCTGTAAAGTCTAAATAATCTATTTCAGATTTTCATCATAGCATTTTTAAAAAATGTCATCCTGAAAATATACTCTGTTATATACTTTTGTGTTATCACACCCTGTCAACCTTCTGTCTCTCTATGGTTGTGAAGTTAATGCCAGAGCTCATCAGTATCTAGTCCTAATACCTGCTCTTCCTGCTCCCAGGGAAACCCAGGCCTAGGGGCAGGGACAGGATTAAGGCATGGTCCTTATGAGAACTATTCAGGCATTTAGGACAAGAACTGAGAGAAAACCTAGGTTGGGGGTCAGTGGCTTCTCCCATTTATCTCACCGGAAACTGGCTCAGATGCACAGTAGAAAACACAATACAAATGTCCACTACCACACGAAATGTGCAGGGACAACTGGCAGGAATAATTAGGCTTATGATGAAAAAGCCTGGAATATGTACAAATAGTGTTGACAATTTTTATTGGTTAATTTCAATCACATTTGAAGTTATGTGATGTGTTAATAAAATTTTATTTTTCTAATCACGATGAAGGAAAGCAATATGCATTATTTATGAGCAACAGGCATTATATAAGCCTACTATAATAGACTGAAACTCAGTATACTCATATCACACATATAACTATATAGAGAGGTTTAGAAGGACATATACCAAATGTTCTTTTATTTTTGCTTTACTACATTAAACATTTTTTTCTACAACGAATAGCTTATTTGTATTAGAGAGAGAGAGAGAGAGAGAGCGCAAGCAATAAATATTCTCATTCACTCATTACTGTGAACCTGACAATAAATACTTGCTTAAAAAATAAATCAATTCAATGGCTATTTCAGAAGAATCCACGTTACAAAGCATCCTATGACAAATGCATGCCAAGCCCCAGCTCCAAGTCGCCTTCTTTTATCTCCGGATTCCCCTCCTCTGACTTCCTTCAGTTCATCCCAAGTCCACGCAGTATTTACTACTCAGTAGCTTACCTTGCAGGCGATCAGTGTCAACACCTTATTTTCGTGACTGAATGCTACAGAGCAGAGACTGTATCTAATGAAATTTTCTATCTTCCCACAGCATATCACATACTTTACTTTTTGTCAGGCAATAATTACTAAATGAAGCAAATGAAAGCAGATGCCTTAGTAAAGTGGATGGCAAAAACAACTTGTTCAGAATTCCTGGACAATACCTGGAGGCCAACTGGCATTGCTGGATTTACTTCCGATTTTATTGGTTGGTGGAGATTTGGCAGGTAACCAGCTATCACCAGCAGGACCCGTATGGCCACCCAGTGTGTCACCTGGGATGATATCAAACTGGTTGTATGGTGACCCTCCTCGGGTCTTACCAGGGGCCACTATAGCGCCTGACAAGAGAGAGAGGAAATTAATTCACACTTGGAAAGGACTCCTGTGAATAGAACGTGTCAATCTTTTATTTAGAGAAACTCACACAAATACAGTATTCTGAAGCTTAAGAAGTAGAAAGAGTACTAGGATGAGGGGTCACACTTGAGATCAGTACATACCGTATTTTTCGGACCATAAGACGCACTTTTTTCCCCCCAGAAGTGGGGGGAAAAAGTCCCTGCGTCTTATGGTCCAAATATAGCCTACACATATACTTTAAAAAAAAAGTTTTTTTACTTGCCCGGCTCTGTGTGGTCTCTGTGTGCTTGCCCGGCTCTAAAATGGTTCTAAATGCTGCTGTTTACTTTACAGGGTTGATTACATGTGTTTATGACTGTGATGTTGGGTTTTAATGCACATAAAATATTTTAGGACACTATTTGTTTCAGAATCTTTTTTTCTTCATTTCCCTTCTCTAAAAACTGGTGCGTCTTATGGTCCGGTGCGTCTTATGGTCCGAAAAATACGGTAATTAATAAGAGGGATGATCATGAACAATTCATTTCAGGTTTCTGAGTCTTTCAGTTTCTTACTCATGCATATAGCACTATTTTCATTCTTTTCTTTTTTAAAAAAAATATATATTTTATTGATTTTTTACAGAGAGGAAGAGAGAGGGATAGAGAGTTAGAAACATTGATGAAAGAGAATCATCGATCAGCTGCCTCTTGCACCACCCCCACTGGGATGTGCCCGCAACCAAGGTACATACATGCCCTTGACCGGAATTCAACCCAGGACCTTTCAGTCCGCAGGCCGCCGCTCTATCCACTGAGCCAAACCGGTCTCGGCCATTCTTTTCTTTTTTTAAAAAAATATTTTATTGATTTTTTACAGAGAGGAAGGGAGAGAGATAGAGAATTAGAAAAATTGATGAGAGAAACATCAATCAGCTGCCTCTTGCACACCTCCCACTGGAGAAGTGCCCGCAACCAAGGTACATGCCCTTGATGGAATCGAACCTGGGACCTTTCAGTGCACAGGCCGATGCTCTTTCCACTGAGCCAAATCGGTTTCGGCTATTTTCATTCTTGAATGTTCCTTTCAGTTTTAAAGTTCCATGGTCTTATGAAGTTAACGAAACTTTCATAAACTATAAACACACATTATCCCCACAGTTTCTATACTAATGACTCAAGAGTGAGAAATAATAAAAACATTAAACAACTTGCAGCACATAAGAAGGCTTTTTAACTACATTTGTATCGACACTACCCACCCAAGTTCTCTAGAGCTGATCAGGCCTAGTTTTGCCGGCAGAAGGAATATAAACGCAGGGCAGTCCACCAGAGAGAAAAGCATCTGCAACTGCTTTAAATTCCAAAGCCATGAGATGGAATTCCTGCCCAGGGTCGTTGCCAGCACAAGGCCAGCAGTGAACTCTGCAGCTCTGAGATCCATGGCCCCACACACGAAGAACAGCAAATCCTTTGTAAGTGCTTTCCTGAGAGCATTACAGCGGTTTTGTCAGTGCCCGCTTTTAGATGCCACGAGGCAGGAAAAAAAAATCAAATGCTTAAAATTCCCTTAAACTAACAAAAAAATGAGTTTTACTTTAAATAACATTTTCAGTCTCTGTGAGATACCATTCTACCTATAATATTTCTCAAACGAATTTTACATGCTGTATTGTGTCACTTGATCTATTCTTAGGGTCCTATTTATGAACTGATAAAATTAGTTCAAAGGCTATGTATTAAAATATCTATGTGTGTATAAAAATGTTGGTTAAAAGAATCTGCTTGGTTTGGCCTAGGGGTATCATCAAAACTGTCTCCCTGCTCAGCTAAGAAGTCACTGACTTTCTGGAGCCTCTGAAAGAAATCCACTCAAGGGCACAGCGCAGTGCAGTAGCAGAGCACGAAAAGCTCGAGTCCCTTGGAGCTTGCTAAGGAAATGGAAAATATCACCTGTTAGCTCTGAAGAGGCAAATGGCTGTTCTACCTTCGCAGTATCCTCACAGGCCATTTTGTACTTATTGTCATACATGCATAAAGTATTTGGGGAAAAGCCAAAACTGGTTTGGCTCAGTGGATAGACCATCGGCCTGTGGACTGAAAGGTCCCAAATTTGATTCCGGTCAAGGGCATGTACCTGGGTTGCAGGCACATCCCCAGTAGGGTGTGTGCAAGAGGCAGCTGATCGATGTTTCCAAGTCTCTATCCCTCTCCCTTCCTCTCTGTAAAAAATCAATAAAATATATATATATATTAAAAAAAAAAAAGTCTTTGGGGAAGGAAGTAGTGTAAGTGCCTGAAGCTACAGGTGATGGGCCTGGACTACTGAATTCAGAAACAGATTTTATAGTTTCTACAAATCGTTATTCATTCTGTGGCACAAAATCAAATGACGTGCTTTGGGATAGCAGGCAGAGAGCTCCAAGGGGCCACTGGAGCAGCCGCTGGGTGGGCATGCTTTTAGGAGTGGCTTATAAAGGAACCATGGACGGCTACAGGCTGACGGGGCTGAGGCCTGCCAGGGAGCCACAGCAGCGGTCCCTCTCCTATTTATCCTTGGCTCTCATAGACAGAGTTGAGTCCAAGCCAATTACTATTCATTGAAACGAAGGCTGAAGGAAGACTCCGAGACCTTATATCCATGCTTTACAATAATTTTACAGGACACTTCAAGGCCTGCTGAGGGTCAGAAGAGCGCCAACCCATAATGCTTTGCTTGCTCTTACCATTTTTGTGCATATTGGCTTCCTGTGTGGCCACAGAGGGCAGTCCCTCCATCATGGAGGTCCACTGTTTAAAGCGAGACTCCGTTCCAGCCTCTTTCCCGCCAACCATGCCATAGTCCATGCCGCCAGAGCTGAAGCCTGAAACAGAGAACCACATTTTATGTCTTTCTGTACATTTCTAGTATCAGTAACACGAGTTCTGAGGCAGAACCCATGAATGGATTCATTTGTAACTTAAAGACTAATTCTCAAGGAGTTTCATCCATAAACAGACATTTTAATTCAAAATACTGATCTTGGCTCTTGCTTGCTAAAAAACGTAACAACTGTTAAGGTATGAAAGTGTGTATGACTGCCATGTCATGCAGACCATCTCGCCCACCTATTAATTTAGCTGACATTTGTACCAAATAGAATGCTGGAGCCAGATTCTCCAACGGAGGTGGAGGTGTCCACACGTGCAACTAACTTAAAAATAAGAGCAGCTATGAGGTGTGGTAAGGGCACTGGGAGGAAAGGCTTTGCAGAAGAAGGGAAATTTGACCTGGGACCTAGGGGAGGTATGTAAGGAAATCAAGGAAACCAAGTACAAAGCTCTAACTCATGACAATATTTAAGGCATGAGAGTCTGCTGTAGTTCCGATGCTTGGCTAACTATGGATGGAGGCAGAGTGGCAGGAGGTGGGGGAGAAATGAAGAGTCATGTCATGCAGGGTCTTTATATATCAGGGAAAGGAGTTTGGACCTTTTCCCCTCTAAGACAGGAGATAAAGAAAATTTTAAGCAAGCAAGAGAGCAGTAGCTAGGTTGGTATTTTAGAAAGAGAACTGGCAAGGTGAGAATGGGTAGATGAAGGCCAGGACAGAATCTGAGAGATCACTTTGAAAAAAGTTTTCATGCAGTGATCAGATCCCAAAGCTCAAACAGGTAATTAGTAGGAGGCTGACTTTGCCCTGAGTCCCCCAGGTAAGCCTCGGGTGTCAGGCTTTCTGCAAGAGTTTTGGTGGGTAATGCTTTCCCACTGCAGAGGGCTGGACAGGAGAGAGCCAAAGCGAGAGACTCGGTGATGGGAGTTTTGCAAGGTCCACCATCCATTTGGGATCACAATGTACTTAACATTTTTCAAACCCACTGTCATAAAAGTAAAATAAAGGACTAAAATAAAGCAAAGAAACAAGAGAAGGGAAGAACAATGAGTAACCAGAGAGAAGATTAAGAGCTATAGTAAGTGTAGCAACCCAGAGAGTGATCAGGGTTCCCCATGCCGAAGCTCAGGTGGCTTGTAAGAGCCAAAAGCCAATCTATTCTTGTTCTAGAACGTGCAGCTCTGGCCAGGCAAGACTCCATGCTGCATCCACTTTATTCTCCTACCATCTGCTGGCGTTTTATTGGTTCCTAAATACCATTTACCCAAATTCCACTGAGGGTCCAGGACATGTGGTGTCTCCCCCCCCCCCCCCCCCGCCCCCGTGCTTCTCCTAGTTGTCAGGTATAGTTCTACAAATGCATAATAAATCAAGTTCAAGTCCATTTCTAACACCCTCTTGACATGTTCAAAATGTTGCTATAAATAGAAAGAACTCTTCTTTCACACTCTTTGTAACTGACTTCACTAGTCTAAGTAACTGAAGGGTGGAGAGTAGAAATCCTTGGTATGAGCTGGAATTATTTCAAATTAAACAATTTTTAAAAATAGGGTTTAAGATATTTTCATCTTTTGTCCTATGCAGCTGAGTTGAAATAAGACTGGAGGGCAGGGAAGCTGAACGGAACAAGGGCTTTCTCTGACATAAACTTTAATGGCCTAAGTGTGTTACAGCTCCTTGGGCAAATTACACCTCTACCTTTGACAGAGAAAACCAGCCCAAGGTGCTTGGATTCCAGGCCATCTGAAAGCTGGTTCCAGTCATTGAGAAAGAGCTTTTGAAAATAACTCGGGATTCTGGTGAAGATTAAAAACAAGAATGTAGGGATTAGTAGAAGGACAAGGAACCATTCCTTACACATTAATTTCCTTTAACGTTTGCTTTAAAATTTCTCTAAAACTCATAGTGAATTAAAGGTATTACATTTCAGCTGTGTAGAATTCTTTTGTGACACATGAAGTGTAGAAAATTAGTAAGAGTTATTAATCATAGGAAAGGGGAGTCCGCCTGAACCTTAAGCAAAGTGGGCATCATTCTCATTAGAAACTTGCAGATCCAATGCCCCCAAAATATAGCAGCATCTTTAAATCACAAGGTTTGGTAAGGAAAAACATTAAAGAGGCGTTAGGAAGGACAGAAGATGAAACTGCCTTGAAAGGCTCACCCTACAAACCCAAAACCATTGAGAGGGTAAAAAAAGTCAGTGCAAGATTGTACATGAATCTCTTTTTCTCGATGCTATGCAGGGCTGGCAATGACATCAGGACAGAGTGCACTCAGAAGCCCGGAGGGCGGGTTCTGGGCCCCAGGCTCTGAGCTGCATTAACAGAAAGCAGAGGGCACACCGCTTGTGATCTCTGGGGTACTCCTGAGCGATCAGACCTCTACACCCAGGAGAACGCTGACTTTCTTACACTGCCGTTTCATTAAAACCAAACTTGCTCAGTCCACCAAGTGGCCTCCCTGCAATTCTCCAGCTTACCAACACTTGAACTCAACTCAAACAAACCATTTAGCTCAGTTTAACGAATATTTATGGAGAACCTAATTTGTGCCGGGTGCTATGTTAGCAACTGAGGTAACAGAGAGATAAGACATGCCCCTTGCCTTCCTAGCGACTCATTTCTCCAGTATATCCCTTTTATCTATCTTATCGTTCTTACAAAAACAACCCTTTGTGTGTCTTTTTAAAAAAATATATATATTTTATTGATTTTTTACAGAGAGGAAGGGAGAGAGATAGAGAGCTAGAAACGTCGATGAGAGAAATATCGACCAGCTGTCTCTTGCACACACACACACCCCACCGGGGATGTGCCCGCAACCAATGCACATGCCCCTGACCGGAATCGAACCCGGGACCCTTCAGTCCGCAGAGCGATGCTCTACCACTGAGCCAAACCGGCTTCGGCCCTTTGTGTGTCTTATTGGTCCTTTCTCCCGCTGCCAGGCATCTTAATTCATCATCTGTTCATCACTACCATTGGCTCAGTGATTAGCATCTGAAGGAAACTCTCTCAAATGAACTTGTCCTTCACTGTTCCCTCCTTCACTCCCTTTGTAGTTCTCTATTTTCTTTTACTCCTTTTATTGTAGATTAAAAAGCAAACTACTGCTTTTGTAATGACTATAATAAACACATTACAAGAAAAACAAATCACTCAGTTGCCCATTTCACACACCAGTTCTAGTCCATGTCCACATGGACATGATAGTGTGACATTCATAGATACAAATGACTCTCCTGCTATTTTAAAAATCTATAATATTCATAACTTTACTTTTCACTAGGTATGCACACATAAATATTATAAATGTGGATGCATTTTAAACATAAAAAATAAGATTTTATTGGAAATGCATTTTCTATTAAGATGCGTGGTTGTTTTGACAATTAGTTCAGCTACCAATGACTGTGGACGGAAGGGGCCACATGCTGACTTGACTAGCTCAGGCCTGCATGGTGGTCCTGCAAACTCAGAGACCTAAAGTCACCACAATTAAACTGAAATTAAACTGTAATTAAAAAAAGTGATGATGGGCAGTTACGTCCTAGGCCAGTATCTTCACTGACAAGGTCAACCTTTACCTTAGCTGAGCCTATCTGTCTTTTTGCAACTATAATAACATATCCTGTGAGATGTTGGGTAGCTTGTATCTTCCCTTTTTCTGGACCCCTTGGGGCACAACCTAATGTATTGGGCGCTGGGCCAGAGACCACAAATTCCTTCATTATCATGTTAATTGTTCCTGTACCCACTAAGTTCGTGTCCATCATTTTACTTTTTCTCCAATCCCAAGGGTTTTCTCACTTTGCTTTCTCCCGCCTCTCTAGTCTATCGCCAATGGATTTCATGTAACCCACCTATGTCCCTCCTTTGATTGCAATGTATAAATACAGATGTAACCCACCATTCTCCGGAGCATTATCTCAATTCATTGAGGTTGCATATGTCGACAGTTTGGCTCAAATAAACTCACAAAAATTATTTACACATTTCAATGTGTTTTTTGTTGTTGTTTTTTTTGCGTTAATATGACTATGACTTATTAAAATGAGATCAAATTCATGCTACTTTATGCCTATTTTTACACTTTTTACACATAAAGCACTAATAAATTTTATATGAATAAGCAAATTGGAAAAGAAGGAGTTTTGGTATGACATTACTTTTTTTTTTTTTTTTAAATAACATCACTTACTTCTTTGAATTATTTTAAAAGTATATTCTACCCCCCCCAGGTTTGATAACATATATACTAAAACATAACTTTTAGATAGGTCATTATCATCTGACAATTTAATTTTCAATTTTGCTATAAGAAGAGATTTTTAAAAAACATCTGTTTTACAGAAACAATCAAATAAAAATTAATTAAGCCATCAAAAGTCATTTAACTTTTTAATTTTGAGAAAATATACCAAAAGAGGCTTTATCAAGAATTAAGATACTTTTAATTATTCCTGCTACCTTTACCCACAGGTTATCTTTTTTAGGTTGATACACTCAGCATTAGAAAGATTAAAATACTATTACTTTTGTTACATCTTTGCCATATAATCTTTTTTGAAAAAAAAATTAATCTCTGTATAAGCCTGAAATATACTTTTATCAAAATTTATAGCTATAGATTTATTCAAAACAGGCAGCCAAATCACTTACTTTGAGTCTAAAAAATATATTTTTCAATTTAAATAAGGTAATATACATTAAGAAAAATGATACAAAATGTACCTTGAAAGGAAGATTAAAACTGGTCAGATTACAATTAATATGATAAAGTCCTAATAAAATTAATTTAGCTACATATATATATATATATATATATATATATATATATATATATATATATAAAGGCCAAGCGACCAAAACAACTGGAATGACCTGTTGCTATTACTCACATTGAGGCCTGCCAACTATCTTGATCGGGGGCGGGGCTGGCTGCCAACCTCCTGCAGGCCCTCCCCCTGGCCTGCTCAGTCCCTATGAGTCCTGATCAGGGTGGGCCGGCTGGTCCCCACACATGCACGAATTCATTCACCCAGCCTCCAGTTATTTTATAAGTTATCAAATGTAAACAGGTTAATAAGTCAATATGTTCTTTTTCCTTGCTTCAATAGGATTTTAATACATAGTTAAATGTGTAAGTTACTTATGAAACAACAATATGATATAAAACAAACTTTTTTTCATAAATGCATATGTGTGTGTATATTGAACTCTGATCCTTTAGCTATTAGGAATAGTTAAGATGAAAACAATAATCACAAATAACACCATTAATCTAGCAAGGCATCATGATAAAATTTTTCAATATTCTTAATAAATAAGAAAGGTATATGTGCTAAAAACAGATTCAAAGTCAAAGTATAATTTTACTTTTTAATAGGAGGCAGAAAATATTAAAGCTGTTCTAAAGACTGATTGTCACTAAATTCATCATGACTTTAGGTCTCACTAATATTACCCAGTTTAAGAAAATCACACAATAAAGTTTATCCACAGGCTTTACCTAATGCATTGTGAAAACGTCTTTTCTTAAAAAATATTTTCACTGATTTTTAGAGAGGCGAAGGGCGAGAGAGAGAAACATTGATGTTAGAGAGAAATACTGCTTGGCTGCCTCTCCCACACCCCCAACCTAGGATCGAGCCTGCAACCTGGGCATGTGCCCTGACGCATAATCAAATCAGAAACCTGTTGGTAAACAGGATGATGCCCAATCCATTGAACCACAAAGACTCTTGAAAATGTGTTTTAAGAGTACTGTCAGTAACCTGAATGTTCAAGCTGTTTGAAGGTGCCTTTCTTCCCACCTGACACATGCTCTAGGGATGAATCCCGAGAAGAGCTGAAAAGCACCATAGCACTTACATACATGGAAAAACTGCTTGCAAACTTTGCAAATGCTCTCTGTGCTTTGAACTGCCTGGGCTCTACGTTGAGAACTACATATTCTTTGATACAAAGAAATGGAAGCAAAGTTGTCCTGCTTTCTTACAGCATATAACAGGGGTGGGGAAAGTCCAGCCTGTGGAATCATTTGGTCTGGTCCTGCCAAGGCATAGGGGTGAGTTAATTAAATGTTTGACCAAATATAGCAGGCTGATTTTTAAGTTGATAATTTGGTATGGCTGTGAAAGATGTTATAAATATCCAAATGGTCCTTGGCAGGAAAAAAGGTTCCCTACCCCTGGCGTATGGTGTCTAAATTCGGAACAACTCAACACATACCAAAACACCCAGGTTCTTAGGTCAAGCTTCATCCTTAACAGAAAGCATGATGAAACAGCAGACTGGAAACCCAGGAGATAACGACCTTCATTAGTTATTATGGGAGGCTCATCCTTTCCTGGTAACCTGGTGTTCTATACTCAGATGAGCATGCCCTAGGAAGATATGGGATGGTGGAGAGTCTGCCCTTCTGTGCCAAGTGGTAGAAAGAATATATTGAATTTAAGTCAGTTCTCAGGTGGGTCATTTTTAAGAAAGAGTATAATTGAGACTGGCCAGTGTTGCTAGTGATTGAGCGTCACCCCATGAACCAGGGAGTCCAAGTTCAATTCCCGGTCAGGGCACACACCGAGGCTGAATCCCCAGTAGGGCATGTGCAGGAGGCAGCCAATAGATGTTTCTCTCTCATCACTGATGTTTCTCTCTCTCTCCCCACCTCTCCCTTCCTCTCTCTGAAAGAAATAAAAACATTTATAAGTAGGTGCCTCACAGACTAGAGCACAGAGAGCAAGGTCATTTGTCCAGGGTCACCCTGCCACCTAGGAGCATGGATTGCAGGTTTTCTTGCTTCTGAGTTTGCGTAATAGAGTACCTTCTTCACCAAAATAAAATCTAAACGTCAATCTGAGAAGAAACCTGCTATGGTGTGTGGTACATTTTTAATTTTTGAAATTTATTTTTAAATCACTGTTGCCTCACTGATTGGATTCTGCTTACAACATGTTTCTCAGTTCTCAAAGAGCTATGATTTGCCTGCCAAGAAATTCTTTATGAATGTCAAAGGTGTAGCCTTACTTGTGTTAATTCTATTTAAATCAGATGAAATACAAATATCAGAAGAATTTTATCAGTTTGCCTTACAAATTTAATTTTAGTTCTCCATTTTCTTCCATTTTATCAGTCAAGTTAAACACCTCAACCTGTATATGTTTTAATATGTTATAACCTCAGGTACCTGTAGCACTCTCAGCATATGCAAACATTTAAACCAGTTTTTAAAAATTCCTACTTCTGGGGAAGGGGACTGCCATTCATCCACATAAAAAGACTGCTTTCCGGTCAGAAATTGGAGCCCTGTCTTTGCTATTTACTCACTGTGTGACCAGCTTCTGAAACCTATACTGTGTTTCCCCGAAAATAAGACATCCTCCGAAAATAAGACCCACTTACAGGTTTCCTTCTGAGTGAAATATAAGGCATCCCCCGAAAATAAGGTCCCCCTAGGCTAAACATGACAGATTTGATCCACTGATTCTGAAAGAAATGGAGTCACAAGAAATTCACCAGGAAATTCAGGAATTGGATTGTTATGATGATCTTCAGAAGATGATGACATAATTGTCATTGAATAAATGAGTAAATTCTTGATACTGTGGGATTCACAGTTTGTCTGGTTTGTGTTGACAACTACCATATGACCGTACCGTATACAGTTAATAAATTTCCTTTATTTTCATTTAACAATAAATGTGTACTGTATTCTTCTTCATGGCAAAATAAGACATCACCTGAAAATAAGACCTAGCCCATCTTTGGGAGCAAAAATTAATATAAGACACTGTCTTATTTTTGGGGAAACAGGGTAGAAACTCTCAAATGTTGATAACTCAGATACCTCTCATTTGTAAGACAGACCTAAGACTATATGCACTTTGTATGGCTGTTATGAAAACAGAGGGTAAGGTAGGGTCAATCCTTACCACAGGCTTAAAAAAAAGTAAATTCTCATCACTAACAACTTACCGGAACCATATCCAGGTATTGGCCCTTTGGTTTGAAGGTCTGGGAGCCCCACATTCAGAGTGTTGGGTACCATGTTGTCTAGATGTGGCTTGGGCCCGATGGGATGAGACGGTGAATGCTTCATGCTCGGCTGCCTCTGCTGCTGCTGCTGCTGCAGTGCGCTCACCATTCGAGCCAGCTGGAGGCGGGCAGTCCAGAGCAAGGAGGCCCGAGGGAGAACAGACACACAGTAAGGCCAAGTCCCGAACATCCCAGGAAAAGATGAGATTACATAGGATTCATTTTTGCTATCAAAGAGGTTTCGTAGAAATGCACTCCTTACGAAGAGCACCAGAGAGGGCCCCTTGCAATCCCATGTACCTGCTGCTCTTGCTGCTGGCGCACAGCTTGAGAAATCTTTCTCTGGTTTTGTAACAACTGCTGCTGCTGCTGCTGCTGCTGCTGCTGCAAGAGAAGCTGACATGCCTACGGGAAGAGAGAGAGGCCCTGAGCTTCCTTAATCAGGTGTCCACGAGCAGAGTACCACCACTTTCTTGGTCTATTGGCCATTTTTACCCCACAGATGAGCACACACAAAATGAAGCAAATCAAGTTAAAGAAAAAGTGCACAGCCCTTTTATTTACAGGAGGAAAACCTGCTACTTACCAACTGAAACTGGGGGATCTGTGGAAGCTGGCTCAGCATGGCAATTTGTTGAGGAGATAACTGGGGCCCCACATTGAAAAGACCTGGATTCAGGCCACTGTTGGGAAATTGCTTGAGCACTGAGGCAGAAACCTAGCCAAAAAAATAATAAAAAGAACAAACAAGTTGAACTGTCAGAATTTATCAAAATAAATTATTCTTGTGTGGAAATAATCTTAATAGATCTAAAACAGGAGTCAATTTTTTCCTTGAAAACAATTACATGATTGGGAAGATTACATCAAAGAATTAACAATGGTGATAGTATATGAGCTCTGAGTGGTGATAGTATATGAGCTTTTAAATTCTTTCATTAAACTCTGCAATTTTTTTACAACAAAAATGATAAATTTTACAATCATGAAAACATCGGCAAGATCAGAAAATTTTAATGACAATATGATGTTTGGCTGAGAAATTATTACTCAAAATGTGCTATAAAACAAAATATATCAAACAGTATAAAGCTACTTAACAAATGCTTAAAAGAAAGTATTTGTTATACAAATAAAAAATATATCAACTTATAAACAAGACAGTGACAGGCTCAGCTGGTTCCTTCTCCCTGGTTCTCAGGATTGAGCTAGGCTAGGCTGCAGGAACCTCCAGGGGTAGACACAAGACTCCCTCCCATATTCGGATTGCTCATTTAAGATGTCTTATCTGAGTTTCTCTGCACGTTCTTTCACTGAACCCACTGAGCCAGCTGGTGCCAAGGACAACAAACTTAATCCCTCTTCCATGAGTGGCAAGAAGCACCCTGGCCAAGAGTTTATTTCATTCCGGAGGCATGCCATTTCGGAGGTGTGTGACTCAGGGCAAGTTACTTATTTAACCTTTCCGAGCTTCATTTTCCTTACCTCCAAAATTGGAATAATATTAACTTCAGTGATTGTTTGAGAATTTTATGAGTTAATCCATGTCAAATGCTTAGAAATGCATTCCATAAATGCTCTGATTTCTCAGGATGGTTTTTCAATGTCTAGAGACAGTGGTTACAGGTCTCTTGTGTCTCATCTTTAGGCTAAATGTGTTTTGTTTTATTTTCCATTTGTATCTCATTCAATTTCTCAATGCAGAGCCCACAACAGAGAGCCATTTCCTAGAATAGTCTAGTACTGAGTAGACGTGGTCACCACTAACCCTTCTGTTAAATCCATGCTTTTGTTAATTATGCCTAAGATCTCAGTTTCTCCGATGATTGCATCATAACTCCAATTCATATACTAAACGTAATGTCAATTAAAATCTCAATATTAAAAAATAAAATTTACAATATTTTAAAATATTTTGCTCTATATATATTTAAGCATCTAGATTTTAAAATTTTATTAATTTATGATTTGATCTTAGGACCTTACATTTATCTTTATGTGCATGGCACATAGTAGATGCTTGATAAATACCTATTAAGTGAACACTCTATTTTAACTTATTAACAGTCACTCCATCCAATTCTTTTCTGCTTTATTATTCTACTTACTAGAGGCCCAGTGCATGAAATTCGTGCATGGGTAGAGTCCCTAGCGGCTGCAGGCTGCCAGCTGGGGCCTTCCTTTGCTCCGTGCAGCCCCCTAGTGGTCAGCATATGTCATAGCGAGCGATCAAATTCCTGGTCAGTCGAACTCCAAAGGAGACACTTTTCATATTAGGCATACACACACACACACACACACACATATTCCCAGTTTTTGTTTCCTCATCTGATCATCAATGAGAACGTTGAACTTGAAAGAGCTAAGTATAATCTAGTAATAAAAACTGCCAATAAAAACTCCTTTCCAACCTGAAACTGATCAGCTTGGGAATCCTCAGTCAGTCATTTACTAATCCACACAACTGTTTCAGCATTTAGCCTACATTTTTCCACCTTGTCTGAAACAAAGAGATAGCTTGTCAATTGGCTTGTCAAAACAGAGATACAACTGTATCATTCCTATAATCCAATATATATATATATATATATATATATATATATATATATATATTTTTTTTTTTTTTCTTTCTTCTTTTTACCAAAGAAGGAAATGAGTTAAATCAAAACTTGTTAGCAAGCTATGATTCTTTTTTTAAACAAATGTTTTTATTGATTTTGGAGAGGGGTCGGGAGAGAGAGGAGGGGGTGGTGGTGGTGAGAGAGAAACATTAGCATTAGAGAGAAACATCAGTTGGCTGATTCCCAAATGCACTCCAACCAGGGTTTGAACCCAAAACGTAGGTATGTGCTCTGACTAGGACCCGCAACCGTTTTGGTATATGAGATGGGTGACAACCAACTGAGCACCTGGCCGGGCTCTTCTCATCTTTTTAAATGTGGCTACTAAAAACTTCCCATTGCATTACATGGCTCATTTCTATTTCTATTGGACGGTGCTATTCTAGACTGTTGTTTCTAACTTCTTTTCCAACGTTTTTTCTAATTCATGGGAAATCCCCTCCACTTGTTTCCCAATCCACTGGCTTCCAAAATAAAAAGCCATTGTCTGAACTTTCATTTCTCCCCACTTCTTCAGTCAGTTTTAAAAGCTCTACTGAACAAATCAGCTAGTCTCCTGATCAATGCATTTCTCTTGAGAATGCATGCCTTTCCTTGCCAATAGTATTTCCTTCCCTTACTATTCCTACTAATCAAAACTAGCAAAAGAAACTACCATTCCAAGTAAAACATGCCCATGACATAGCAGTAACCTAAAGAAATTCATCCTAGGAGAGAAATATAAGAATATCTGTAACAGCACTGCCCATAATAGCAAAAATCTGGAAACGGCCCAAATGTCTACTGATATAATTGGTAAATATGTGGTGGTGTAGTATTCATGCAATGAAATACTATATAAACTGCAACTGCCCAAATCAACATGGGAAAAATCTCAGAAACACTGCCAAGTAAAAATAGTCAGGGAAAGCTATACACTGTATCGTTTCATTACATAAAGTGCAAAAAAGGCAAAATGAAGCAATATATTATTTAAGGATGGACAAAGACTACAAAGAAATGCTAACCCAAGACCATTTTATAATTTAATTTAAATGCCAGCATCTCATAGGTTTCACAAGTTGACAGTTACAAGGACTATAAAAGTTACACTTTGAGGACTTCCTACCTAGCTTTGCTCAACCGTTCCCTTCTTCAGATTGCACGAGTGTAGTCCTCTGATGACATAGAAGGACCAGAGAGAAACACAACTACTAGCTCCTGGCAAATGGCTCTTTGTACCTGGGTTGCAGGGTAATTAAAGTGCAGGTTTGCACATTCCCATAGCAGGGAGTTAATTACTCTGGCTTAAGAGCCATCAATTTCCAGCTGGGTTGGAGAAAGTGAAGATCTATTATAGTTGGAGCCAATATGGCAGTTAACGAAGCACTGCAGGTGCAAAATGACAGCAATTTAAAAAGACAAAAGCTTGCTAGAATATGTTACTTTCTGAATATCTGAATAAGGTAGAAAAACCCAAGGCCTGGAACATTTGTAATACCAAATCGTAAAGATTAGTTTCAATGTCTTCTTTCTATGCGTACATTTAATACTGACTACACATGTTAATCACATTTTGCTAAATAAACAAATTTCAAAAATGTAGGAAACCACAAGTATTTTATTTTCCAAGTGGAACACATACTTTGGTCCTAATGAAATTTGCAGCCTTCACTAAGTCTCTTAGATGAGTTTAATTATGCTTTCCTAACAATTCCACTTCCTAAATCATTCAGGAATGCGTCTTCCCATGACTTGACATAAATTTATCGAGCTCAAAAATCCATGCTCAGGGGAGGGAGAGTAACAGTGGGTGGTGGTGGCCTGAGAAAGCCTCTCTGATAAGGCGGCATTGAAGCGTAGATCCAAAGGAAATAAAGATGAAGTCATGTGGCTATCTGGGAGACTGATCCAGGAACAAGCTCAGTGTGCTGGGGCCTGTTGGCAGGAGAGGCCTGAACAGAAATGGCAGCGTGGCGGATAGAGGAGGGGATATCCCCAAGAGCCTCAAAGACCCCAGTGGAGAGGTGGCTTAGTGTTCTTACTGAGAGAGAGCAATAAGAGGACTGATACCCAGTAGAGTAGTAAACTTGATTTACCTTAACTTTCTACATTCATATAAACGTTCTCTATCTGTACTGTCCATATAGTAGCCACTGACTAGTTGTGGCTATATAAATTAATTAAAATAAAAAATTTAGTTCTTTTTCAAGTGCGCAGGTGGCTAATGGCTGCATCACACAGCGCAGTTTTTAGAAGTCAGGAGGCCATTTCTAGGAGAGATACGGTGGTGACTTGGCCACGGGTCATATTAGAGGAAGTGGTAAGAACTGGTCAGGTTCTGGATAAAGTTGTGAAGGAAGGATTTGTCGACGGACTGGATGTGTACTGTGAGAAGATGAACGATTAGGTCTCAGGTCTGTGATGTGAACACCTGCAGAATGAGAGTACCATTTACTTGAAGGAAGAGAATGTTTTTGAGGGGAGTGTGGGGTGAAGTCAGAAGTTCTACTTAGGACATGTTAATCTGAGATGCGAAAGGCATCCTGGTAGAGATCCCCAGACGTCTGTGGAGTTAAGAGAGATCTAGGCTAAAGACACAAGATATTTCCAGCCATTCCACTGGGTGAGATCACCTAGTAGCCACCGTAGATGGTGAAAGGAGTTCCAAGTTTGAGAAAGGCGCACTCTGATGTTTAAAGGTTAAAGAGTGAGAGGAAACCTATAAAGAAGATGGGGAAGAGGTAGCTGGAGAACCAATATAGGAGTCTGAAAGCCAAATGAATTAAGTGTTTCAAAAAGGAAGGAGTGCTCTGAGTTCCAGTGTTGGGGCAGCAACTTGGAAGGCACCAGGAATATACGGGGAGAAAATGAAGTGTCTGGCATCAGGAGAGGGCTGGTGGGGCAGCTTTCTCCCAGACAGAAATGCTGACAGAGGCCACTGTTCTCTTTCCAAGCTCTTCCTGCAAAGAGCCAATAGGTGGGTGCCATATCTGAGCCTCCTTCAATCTGGCTATCACTGTTTTCTCTTCCCTGGTGATTCCCTGACACCGCCCCATCAATCTGCTGAGCCCACCCAAGCTATTTCCAGTGGCTTTTGCATTTGAATGGCCTGTCTTGGTTCATGCTTCAGACTTTCTAAAATCTCTCAAACAAGTAGCATCACACTTTAGCGTGCTCCGTACCCACAAGTGGCCCCAACCCTGGCACTAGGGCAGCAAGCTTTGTTTTGCAGCGTGGCATTTACTGGGTACCTCCAAGTCCAGCACAGGTAACAGCCATCTGCAGATCACTTTGTAGCTCATGCCAGGTGGCCCCTGGCAGAACATAGGTTGTGGATAACCTTGGCTTATACCTTCTGGGAGGCCCTAGATCCACAGAACCTGGGGAAAAGCTTCAGACCACGATGAAGCACCAACACCGAACCACCTCCACAGGCGACACACTCAAGGGGTGGACTCAGCAGGCACCAGAGCCCCACTGAAGTCCTGCTCTGTGAGGTGGGCTCTTGCACAGATGATCCCATTGATGTGCCAACAGCAATCAAGGTTCAATTACAACAGGAGGGTGTGCAAAGCTCACACAGTGGAGGGCAGAGGGAAAGAACTTGGGAGTGCCTAGCTCAGATGACAGGGAGGCTGTGCCACTGGACCCTATAGAAGATCTACTACATTAGGCCACTTTACCAAGCCCAGGGGGTATAGCAACTCTACTGAATATATAGAAACAAACACAGGGAAGCTGCCAAAATGAGGAGACAAAGACACATATCCCAAAAGAAAAAAACACACAAAACTCCATAAAAAGAACTAAATAAAAATGGAGATAAGCAATGTACTAGATGCAGAGTCCAAAACATTGGTTATAAGGATGATCAAGAACTTAGTAAATGAACTTAGAGAGAACAAGATGAACCCAAAGAGGCCCACACCAAAACACATCATAATTAAAATACATAGGTTAAAGACAAAGAGAGAATCTTAAAAGCAGCAAGAGAAAAGCAGTTAGTTACCTACAAGGGAGCTCCCATTAGACTGTCAGTTGATTTTTCAACAGAAACTTTGCAGGACAGAAAGGATTGGCAAAAAAAAAAAAAAAAATTCAAAATGATGAAAAGGACCTACAACCAAGATTACTCTACTAAGCAAAGCTACCATTTAGAATTGAAGGACATATAAAGACTTACACCCCTCCCCCAAAAAACAACAACAACAGCTAAAGAAGTTTATTACCACCAAACCAGAAGTACATGAAATGTTTAAAGGGTCTTCTTTAGGAAGAAGAAAAAAGATAATATAAACAATAAAATGGCAATAAATACCCATCTATCAACAAACAATGGAATCTAAAAAACAAGAGAACAAGCAGAACAGAAACAGACTTTAGATACAGAAAATGATTTGGGAGAGAATAGGGGACTAAGTGAAAAGGGTGAAGGAATTAAGCAATACAAACTGGAAGTAACAGAACAGTCATGGGAATGTAAAGTACAGCATAGGGAATATCTATAATAACCAAAGTGTCTTATGCTAATTAACCTGACGACCCCCCGCGGCAGCCCTGTGGTGGGCAGGGACCAAGGCAGCCACTAATATTCTAGTAACTATGTATGGTGCCAGATGGGTACAAGATCTATTGGGATGATCACTTAGTAAGTTATACAATGTCTAATCACTGGGGTGTACACCTAAAACTAACGTAATAGTGTATGTCAATTGTAATTGAAAAATAATTTAAAATATAAATAAAAATGGCTTCCTAAGTTAAGCCCCTTTTTGCTAGTATACATACTTGGTTGAGTCCCTAGTACAAAGTGCTATGCTCTTCTTTCCTTAATAACACTGAATATTCCTCAGAGAAAAGTATCTCTGGCTTTTGCTTCCTACTTATTTCATGCTTGATGTCAGGTGAGGTACATCAGGACACTGTATTAAATTTAGAGCACAGAATATTATTTCTGTTGAAGAGTGAGCAAAGATGGTAATAAGCAATAAAGGTAATTAAGAACTTTTTCCTTTTTATTTATTTTTCTCTTTATTATTATTTTATATTCTTTATTGATTTCAGAGAAGGGAGAGAGAGAAACATCAATGACGTGAGAGAATCATTGATTGGCTGCCTACCGCACACCCTTCATTGGGGACTGAGTCTACAACCCAGGCACATGCCCTTGACTGGAACCAAACCTGGGACACATCAGTCTGCAAGCCAACGCTCTATCCATTGAGCCATATCAGCCAGGGCAATAAAGGCAATTTTTTTATTGTGACTGGACAGAGATTAAAATGTTTACTTGACACTTATTATTTTGGAAAATAAGACAAGAGATAAATAAGAAATTATAATAAAAATAAACAGTTTAACAGTTAAAAAAAAAAAAGAGAGAGAGAGAGAGTGACTGTGGCAAATGCTGCTGATACACTGAATAAGAAACTAGAGAACAGACCATTGTATTCCACAACACAAAGATCCTTGGTGACCTTCACAAGAAGGTCTTAATTCCCACTGCCACTGGACTCCTGGACTAGCCTCGTGACAGTTCTCCTTTGCTCTAATAATTCTGCCATTCAAACATATCCTCTATGTTCCTGTCAGTGTTATCTTTCTAAAACATAAATTTTCCTATACTGTTACTCAGCTAAAGAAATCTTGCCCAATAGTATATTATCAATAACAGTAGCAGCCAAACTTTAGGGTACACATCACAATCACCTGGAGGTAAATAGGCTCCAATACCCAAGATTCTGCTCAGTATCCTGGGGGAGACTTAGGAACTCAAATATTTTTTAAGGATTAGCCCAAATAAGTCCAAGCTCCTTATCATGGCAAAGTTTTTCCAAATTTGGTCTCAAACTTCCTGACTTGCTTCTTCCTATTCTACTCTAGATACAACTATATGCTTCCACAATCTCAAACCAATCATTCAGATTAAATGCATCCCCCTGAACGTGCCATTTTCTTCCAGATATTCCTGCTTTTTACACAAGCTGTTCCTGCTGCTTAGAAGGCACCATTAATCTGGCTGTGCCCAGCAAACTGTGACTCATGCTTCAAGAACCAGCTTAAATGTCACTGCTAGTGTGAGGCCTTGTCCAGCTCCCCAAACTCTGTTTAGCATTTCTATACAACATTTATCACACTTTCTGCCTACTCTTCAACTCCGGGAGGCAGAGATGTGCATTGTCAACACACTGTCTGGCACACTGCAGATATTCAATAACCATGAATGACTGCTGATCCATTACTAAGGCATACTAGAAAGTGCTCCAAGGATTAGGACACCGTCACTGCAAGTACTGGGGAAGTCAGGAACAGACTGGTCTGGAGGACACACCACTGTACGTGACATGAAGTATGACTGGAACTTAGAGAGCATAAAGGGGAAGAGAGACACTCAGAAGGGGCCACACAATGAACATTCCTTCCTCTACTAAGACAGATACGGACACAATGTCAAAAATAGGATTTGAAATCTATAGATTATGGTTTCAAATAAACATTTTAAGCTTTTGTCTTAAAAGACATTTCAAAAAACTAAACAAAATCCGACCTTTTAAACCAGTTTGCTGGATCTAGTAATTGCCTCACCCCCTTTTGTGGGATGGGGCTCAAAGCCCTTGCTCTAACTTAGTTCATTAGGGAGATTAAGGTCACACACTGAACTCTTACATCAGCTTATCAGCTTTTACGCTTCCTGAGAGGTATGCGGGACAGTATGTGGTAGATTCCCTGAGACTTCTTTAGTTCTAGAACTGCCCCCAGAGTACCTAGTCTGTATTTTAGCAGATAGAGCTCCTCAAAACTTTTCAGAAAAATCAGAATCTGGCAATTTTCTGGTTCATCTGTGGGTGAATCCTTGAGGGCAACCAATTTCTGAATACTGACACAACAGAATTTATAAAGCAGCTTTAATCATATACCATTAAAAAACTAATACAGTATTAGAATAATATATGATGTAAAAGGAATATAACCATAATGCTTTTCATGCAAAAACTTCTACTTTGTATGCACAATACAATACAAAAGATTTAATATTTTGTTGTAAAAATCTTAATCTTTGGTATTTGGATTTTTCAAATTTAAGACTACCATTATTCCTTTTGTGCCCATAAAACCAGTCAACCACCTGAATGGGACTTGCTTCTGGATTGTGGAAACACACAATTGCTTACCTGGGGGGAAATAAACTGGGGAGGCACTTGCGCCCGGAGACTAGGAGAAGAATTTAGCGGCTGCACTGGTGTGTGCATACCTCTCGATTGTGCTGTGCTATTTCCGAACAAACCATGATTGCCACCCTGCAAACATAATGCAACAGTGAGGCTTTTTGTTAATATAAGAACATGCAAATAAGAAACAGTCCAGATTTTCTATGCCTTAAAAGAATCATATCTTATTTTCCATTGAATTACAGAATTTTATACCTGAAAAGTTCCTGATCTTGGAAAGCTCAGGAATATTATTCAAACTCAATCATAGCCATATCATTACCACCCCTGTCATCTGATTAACTACATAAACCAAAAGGATTAAACTTAGTCAAATGTTAACTACATAAACCAAAAGGATTAAACTTAGTCTCATTTTATTCTTTTTTTGTTTTTGTTTTTGTTTTTGTATTGAAAGGCTTTATTTCAACTTGCTTTAAGATTGGGTTTACCATGTTTATTCTCAAGCCTTACAAACTGAGATCCATCTTGAAAAGGAATGAAGTAAAAATGCAAGCTTATGAATAATCTTATAAATAATATTACTGAGAAACAACATATGGTATTAGTTCTCTGGTTAGTTCAATCATAAAATCAGTGCAAACCAATTATGAGCCCAGCCCAGCTCCATGAGAACCCTACTCCAGATCTGAATACCCTTCTCTGTCTTGGGTCTGCTTGGTCCCTTCTTTGCTAGATGAGGAAATCTGAATCAAAGAACGAGATGAAAAGAACGGGGAAAAGAGAAAAACCTTTACAGGGACATCAAAACAAACATTACTCACCTGTAACTTCCCATTCAAATGTATGACTATTATCTAGCTAATGAACAAACTTAACTGCCTGGTTTCTGGAGGACCAACTCACTGGAGCAATCTAGACTATTTCAAAAAGCTACAGAAATTGGGGCTGAACAGCCCTTCCTGAGAAAAGTCCTTCAGCAAAGACACCATACACCATACTTGACACCATGTTCCCTCTGACTGAGGCCCAGCTCAGGGGTCATCCTCATGAAAGTTTCCCCCAAAACCTTCTTCCTCATTTTACATTCCAATTAACTAAGCCCACCTCTGTGTCCTCAAAACACTTTAAAACTCTCTGATAATGTCCATCATCAAATTACAGATTAGTTATTTTCCATTCGGTCTTCTCACCGCATGTCCTTCTTTGTATTCCCACAGCTCAGTGAAGCCTGGTCTATAGGAGGAGCACAGCATTTGCAAACACCCCTGACCCACCAATTTCATCTACTTGGAGATGTCCCACTGAACATCATCAGTGAAGACCGCTGTTACCATGGCTTATACCAAGCATGTGTACAATGAACCAAAGGAACCACCATCATCTTATCCCTGGAACCATGGGGATAAGGTATTTTAAAAAATTTTGTAATGGCATTAAGTTCTAGAATACTAAAGATGTTTTGATGGCTTAATGATTTAAAATAGATCAAGAGAATGCTACGAAGAAATTAATAAACTTGAAAGCACTGAAAATAAAAATGATTATGAGCATAAAGTAGAAATGGCAATAAAAAATCTGTCTAAAAAGAAAATCAAAGATTCACCATAAATTTTAAATCTCCCAAAGAATTGTTTAAACAAGAAAACACTAATTCTAAAAAATTGAATATCTCTTTTTCTCCTGTCTTAATAATCAAAGTGTCACCCTAAGGTGAAATGACTCAGCTCTAACTTTTCTGTGGCCAAGGTAGTAGTCAATAGCTTAGCTACTAAACATTCCTAGAAAAACAGGAAGCATTTTTTTTTTTTTACTAAGAATATTCTGCAAGGTCAGGATGGCTGAGGGATCTAGGGTGCCAAGTGGTCTAGCAACGGTTGCCAACCAGTGGTCCGCGGAGGTCTGAAAGGTTGGCGACCACTGGTCTAATGTTTTGCTAAGGCTGTTCTCACTGACACTTTACTATCAATCTTGTATTACATGTTAATTATTCATATGGACTGATCCTTGAATGGTGGGGTTTCTAGTAGCTAAAGTCTTGCCATATTCCATGTTTTAACAAGTTCAAAGCTGCTTTGTGAGGGTCATTTTAAATTTTAATCTCTTTTGGTAAGAAGTATTAAAAGGTACTTGCTGCCCTAGCTGGTCTGGCTCAGTGGAAAGAGTGTCAGCCTGCAGATTGAAGGGTCTGGGGTTCGATTCTGGTCAAGGGCATATGCCTGGGTTTCGGACTCGATCCCCAGTAGGGGGGCGTGCAGTAGGCAGTTGATCAATGATTCTTTCCCATCATTGATGTTTCTATCTCTCCCTCCCTCTCCCTTCCTCTCTGAAATCAATAAAAATACATTTAAAAAAAAAGAGCTTGCTATTTTTAGTTTTTGTGAAATCAAGCCCTCCTTTCTATGCCTAGTGTCTCTAAAGCTACACCAAGCAGTTGGATATATCTATTATAGAGAAGTCAACATTATTCTACCAAAAAATACCTTCTCTGTTTTTTCTTCTGTATTTTTTAATATGAAATGTTGGCTTTACAAGCTAGTCATTTTCTTGGCTCAGAAGTAGCTACTGTGCCCAGCAATGTATTTAGTGGCAATCTTATAGGCTGAATCTTTTAGAAATTAGGAAAATGGTCACCAAAATGTACACCTTAATGCTGTCTAAACTTTACTGTGATATGTGAGGCTTCTATGATGACCTGAGTTCTCATAAGTATTGGTGAAATTTGCCACGACGACGGTGTTTAACATACAAAGGTATATACATTAAAAAGAGCTACCAAGCTGACTGAAATCTTACGAGATTTGAAAAGAAAAACCTTACATTTTAAGTCTGTATTTAAAAAACACTATGAAAAACCCATGACCGCATTTGGATGGAGTGCGTGTGCCGACCTGGCTCATGATGGACTTTGCAGCATTCCACAGCCCAAGAGGACAAAGAGGAGTGACCTTTTCACAGAGCAGTGCATTAATGCTTATGTATAACACCATTTGGTTATCATGTGACCCTGGAAGCACGTTCATAATTACTATTAACGAAGAGTGTTTTGACTACTTTATATTTTCTATACCTCGACCAGAGACAAAAGGGCCCCCCCCCAAACACTGATATAATTGTTCTTCTATATTAATATGTTATATATATATCCATATCCTCTGTGCAAACATTAAAAGAAACAATGAAATATAAAGGAAAAAAATTACCTGTAACTCCCAATCTAGAGATAATCAATCTGAACACATGGATATAGTAGAATCCATTAAAAATGTGCTATAACCAATATGAACACATGGATATAATATCCATTTTTTAAAATATGCTAAGGCAGTAATTAAAAAGCACACGAAAGAACTACATGCATTGTGAGGACTATGGTGTAAGAGATGTTTTATATGTGAAAAGTCATGTGGAAATAAAAGGAGTGCAACTAAAGTCACCTTCCCTGACATCTGAGGTGAAAGTCACAGAACTATGACTAGGAAAATATCACAGGGGAGTCGCTGTCATAAAGGAATTGTCTCCAAATTCCTGGTTTTCTCAACAAAAACTGCAACAGAGCTCTTGCAGGGTGACAGACAAAGGCCTGCTGCCTCCCTCAGTCCTGCGAAAGCAAGTGGGCTTCGCCATGCCAGCCTTGCCCGTCTCATTTCTATGGCATGGCCTTCCTCAGAGACTCCCAGGTCAGACCCTGGGAGAGGAGCTGCCACATCTGAGCAGCAGCATCTTTTCACAGCTCAGTTATCTAATAGAGTTAACTTTCTCTGGGTAATTGTTACATTTCACACTTTAAAGACACTAGATTTTAAGATGCTGTCGCCCTCAACTAGCAGTTTTATTAAATTGAAAATACTTTAAAAGTATTAGTACTTCACATTTAATATAATGTTAAAAATGGCGAATATTGCCAAAACCGGTTTGGCTCAATGGATAGAGCATCGGCTTGGGGACTGAAGGGTCCCGGGTTCGATTCCAGTCAAGGGCATGTACCTTGGTTGTGGGCACATCCCCAGTAGGGGTGTGCAAGAGGCAGCTGATCGATGACTCTCTCTCATCGATGTTTCTAGCTCTCTATCTCTCTCCCTTCCTCTCTGTACAAAATCAATATATTAAAAAAAAAAAAAGGCAAATATGTTGCTAAATTAGATGATATAAGTGACCTATGTAGCCTCTTTGACATTTTCCTTAGGCAGTTATTAGTTAACTAGAGAGCAGGGAATGAGAAGACAAAAGAAACAGATTTAAAATAAAATCCATGTTGAGAAACATGAAGAGAGATGGGTTCTATGGGCTGAAAGATCTGAAGCCTATCCTTAATATCATTCTGTGCATTCAGTAATCAACAAATTTCCCAAGACAGACAAATGATGCAATAAACTTCAGACCAGGGCCAAGGCGAGGCCACAGTCAAGCAGTTATAAATTTGAGAGGCCTCCTTACTTGTCTAGCAGCGAAGTTTTGGGGGTTGAGCCCTGTGCCGATTGCTCCAAGGCTGACGTTGGGTAGTGTGGAACCAGAGGGAGACAGCTTGTAGCTGGGAGAAGGGGAGAAGGGAGAGCAGGGAGCCTCATCCCCAAGGCACCCATCTTGATTGGAGAAAGGCAAAGTCAGCTGAAAAGTAGTAGTTAGCCAATCACCAGGGTTGGTTAGTGAAGCAACAGAATGCAAGAAGGGAAAAGAGAGAAAACACTAGGAATAAACAATGTTAGAGTGGATTAGCAATAAACAAGGACAGAATTTGGATCTGATATAATCATCACACTTTGCCCAACAGACACCATCTGTCATCTTCTTTGATATAGATCTTTATTATCCTCAAAGTTAGTAACACATTCTGTCCACTGCGCTAAGACAAAAATTGCCAGACACTTTATTTTTATGCATCGAATATTGATTAGTCTTTGTATCTGCAGAAATAGAAGCCAGAGTAAACCTTCTTGTGAATATGTTGGGCCAGCATCAATGGTGTAAAAAATGTGCCAGATCTGAAAATTTTGGTTTTAACTGCTTTCTGAAGACCATGAACACTGCAAGTTGGTATTCTGAATTCAGGAATAATCTCCTCCATTAGAATTGTTAAAGATCAAAACAAATAGGTATACTTGATTTATTTAAATCAGGTAGTTAAGAGTTTGAAATTATACCACTGTAACTAAATAGATCACTAAAGAAATGAAAAAAGATCAGCAAAGAAAACTTAGAAATAGCAAAGGAGAAAGTTTTGGGTCATCGTGACAGCTAGAAGTCAAGGCTTTCGGAGACTCAGAGTAATAGAAAAAATAATTCAGAAATGTCTCTAAAATTTCTTCTACATGCTTTCATTTCCCTCACTATGTATATAGTTAGACAATTTCTCTTCTCCAAACTTCATAACTTTCTAAAACTTAGACCTTCTTCACAATGCTCATATCGATTACCTAAAGACATGGTTCTAGCTCCTGCATCATCACCGGTTGAAATCAACTGTTTTCATGTCACCATCTAAATCATATGATGTTTATGTTTTATTCATTAATTTACTTCAATGATTCTATGCTTCCTCTTGGAATTATCAAAAGACCCATAGAAACCAAAGTGGTTCTCATGAGTTATCTTAAATAAAGGATTCAACTCACCTTCTCAAAATAAGGCCCACTATCTGTGGTTCCCATGTCTTTGGAATTAGGTGGACGGAACCCAGATCGATCCTTCCTCATGATATCATTAAAATCCCCGAGATTCATTGCTCGCTTGTCCACATCAAATTTTTTATCTGTAAGGCTCCCTGAAAGGTACCACAGAAAAATTTCAAGAATCAATGTCTCCCTCATGACCAAGAGTGACTGCCCCGTTCTCCTCCCTGGGTGCTGGGTATAAGACCAAAATAGCTCTCCATAGTTCCGGCTGCTGGTGATCCTCCCTGGAAACATGGGTCCTTGTTGTTTAATTAAAAGAACACCACCACAAACAAACAAACCCAACACGTGTCAGTTGTAGTTTGTTTCTATGGAAGACGGAAAGACAACCTTCAGGCTAACCTGATAAAAATCTGACTTAAAAAATTTATTCTGGCTATTGATATGCTTGATGAGTATGTCTTGATCATATATTCGAACATCCTCAGTGACAGAATTTGTGTCTTGCTGCTATTATAATATCTGTTAGAGACAAATAAGTGGGGTTGTGAAACACAGTTATCTATAACAATAAAAGCATAATATGCTAACTAGACTGGACATCTTTCCGGATGGACGAAGCCTATGGCCAGAGGGACTCCTGGGTCCTGGGTGCCTGCCAGTGGCTAGAAGGAAGCTGGTGCCAGCAGCTGGGAGAAGGAAGGCCTACTCTTGCACAAATTTTGTGTATCGGGCCTCTAGTTAAGAAAAAAAATAATGTTGCCTCTAAAATTTAGAATTTGCCCTAACTGGTTTGTGTCAATGGATAGAGCTTCGGCCGACAGAATGAAGGGTCCCAGATTTGATTCTAGTCAAGGGCACGTATCTTGGTTGTGGGTACATCCCCAATGAGGGGTGTGCAGGAGGCAGCTGATTGATGTTTCTCTCTCATTGATGTTTCTAACTCTCTCTCCCTCTCTGTAAAAAATCAATAAAATATTTTTTTAAAAAAAATTTAGAACTTGCACACAGGAGATGGTGTATCATGTTACTTGTGCCATGTAACTCCCAGGTGCAATGATTATTTCCCCTCTTCTTTCACAGCTTCATAGAACAATGACATGATCAGTGCCCCAGAAGCTTATGCCTATTCTCATATTTAAAATATCACAGATCAAAGACTATGTCCTTATTATCCAGGACTGTTTTGCTTTCTTCTTGGTTTGATTCTTTTTAAGGTGAGCAGCAGCATCTCTCTGAAGATCCCACAGACAAAGATGCTGGCCCTGCATCTGCGCCCCTTGTAACGGGAGAGTCAGTCAGTAATGAATCGTCTCAGGGCAGACAGGGCTGGCAACCTGAGAGCTGAGTCTGGCAGGGCCACAGACATACTCTGTTTGGCCACACACAGCATTTTTAAAAACTGGAATTAGGTTCCAATATTTAAAAATCAGGACATCAATATACATCTGAATTTCTTCTGGCCTCTCTTCAAAAACCGGAAGATCTGGCAAAAGTATTATTGCTGAGTCTGAGCTCCTCCATGGCAACAACTGCTAAGAGCCGAGCAAGACTGATTCCTTTAGATGGTGCCTCCATTCTCCACGGCTAACTCGTAGCTCCAAGTCCCGATTTCTCATACTTGGCACACACCACTCGTTTACATTACTTTCCTGGCTCTTGCAGCCATTTGAGTTTTCAAGTCATATCTAGTGTCTGGCACAGTACCTTCCAGAGTAAGTGTTCAATTCGTGTCTACTGAACGGCATCCATCCCAACTCAAACTGAGCAGGGGATCCCAACAGGATGTCGTTGAGAAAAATATTTCATTCATATTAGTGGAGTGATACACACCTACAGACAAATCCATTTTGCTGCTTGGATTATCTTCAGTTTGATTCTGGAAAGTAAAGAACAAGGAGGGAAAATTAAAGGTTTGAATTAAATGTTTGAGTCAGAGAATAAATGGCATCATTCATGTAAGAGTCCCATTTTACTACTGGCACTATACAAGGACAATAACACTTAGATTAAAGACAATAATACTTTTGATTGCTGCTGGTGCCTATATTCCTAAATTCAATTTTCACATAGAATTAGCTTCAGTACATCTATGGACTGAGCAATAGCTAAACAGCTGCTTGTAGAAATAAACCTCTGTCCTCAAGTTCAAGTCAGCTCAGGATCAAATTTCATAAGTGGCAGCCAAACGATGACAGCTTCTTCTCGTGACTTGTCAAGTCATCAAATCTGGAAATGTGCAGCCAAGTCAAAGTCACTTGTCTTTTGGCAACCAGGGCCAGGGTGTCCCCAGAATGTTCCCAAGAGATAAAAGAAATTAGAAATTCTACAAGAATTCCCTACATAATTAATCACAAATGATCTCTCTAGTTATTTTGCTATTGCTGTCTTAAAACTGGTACAGTAGTTAGGCAAACTATATCAATTTTAAGTGCCTGTTCCTTTTTCCCCCTACCTTTTTAAAGAAAAAAATACAAGGACTACAACTTAAAAACATATATATATGGTAACCTTTAAATATTGGAGTATTTGATTAAGAATAAAAGAACAGAAAACAAATCTACTCCAAACCAGAAACACTGTTTAACCAGTTTCCACATCAGTAATTTTGTACTATATGTGGCAATAGTCTTAAAATGCGTACTAAAATTAAAAGTCGGGATACATTACACATAGGAAAAAATAAAACTCACCAGCAATCCCATATTTGAAAACTGTTTGGCAATAGGATTCATCCATGAATCAGTGTTTCCTCCTTTTAGTGCGCACTACAGAAATGAAATATATAACCTTAGAATCAAATTATTTTTTTAACTTCATATCTGAGTTACATAAACACAGATTGAAAGCAGAGAACCAAGAGTTTACCTTTTTTCTGAACCCTAATATTCCTCTTTAATTATGTTTATTTTCATATTTTATATATTAGTCTAAAAGAGTAATAAGCCTTAGATGTATCCGTTTTCATTCTTATTTTTCTCACACTGAATTAAAAGTAACATTAGATTTCATAAATTATAATGTTTGCATGCTTGTACCTTCCCTTTTCGTATCTTCTTGTAACCCAAGCCAGTTAGTTGGTATTAAAAAAAAAAAAAAAAAAAAAAAAAAAGTTTGATGCTAGTGCATGAAACCATACTAAACTAGTCATTCCTTATTCTTGTGTGGATACAATGAAAAACTTATTCATGTGGTACTTTGATCTGTTTGCTTCACAGAGATAAAATACATGGGTCCCCAATGGGAAAGAAGCCTAGCAGAAGACACCATCACTGACTTATTGCAAAATAAGGCAGACACGAGTTTTTGTTTGTTTCTTAATGGGTCAAATTAGTTTCTCGCCTGAACAAGATACTAATCACCAGCTCCACTTTTACTTCTATGGATAAAGCAGGTGGAATTATGATACAGACTTGCTGGGGGAGAGGGGTGATGTGATGGGGGTTTGTGCACTTGTACATTCTACAGTTTAAAAATTCTGTTTGTGCCCAGACCGGTTTGGCTCAATGGATAGAGCGTCGGCCTGGGGACTGAAGGGTCCCGGGTTCGATTTCGGTCAAGGGCATGTACCTTGGTTGTAGGCATATCCTCAGTAGGGGGTGTGCAAGAGGCAGCTGATCGATGACTTTCTCTCATCGATGTTTCTAACTCTCTCTCTCCTTTCCTCTCTGTACAAAATCAATAAAATATATTTTTAAAAAATTCTGTTTGTGTTCGGATATTCGACCTATCAATTTATTATTCTTGGAAATATACTTAAGTTCAGGTACATGTTTAAAGGTAAAAACCAAACAAATCCACCCCGCAATGGAGGGAGGGAGTATCGGTATTACTGTTTAATGGGTATAGAGAGTTTGTTCCGTAAGATGAAAAGAGTTTTGTGGATAAGTGGTGATGGCAGCACAAGAATATAATTTATTTAATGCTACTGTTGGGAGACGGGTTCTGGGCCTTGGAATTTCCTGAATGAGATAAAAACTAGCCATGCTGAGTGTCACTGGAGAAGCTATCTTACTTTGGTTTCTATACATATTCATGAAGATTTACTCTAAGGACTTCCTTGGCTTTAGAACGCAATAGCATAAAACATTTATAAAATATGCCTTGAAAGCTTCCAAAGAATAATTATAATATAGGAACTAAAAGTAAAAACAATCTATCTTTGAAAATTCCACTGTACCCATAGCAACAGTGCTGTGGTCCGTGGTTTCAAAGTCCTGGGGAAGGAACACGAGGGGCAAAGAGGAAGCAGTTATTTGTTCCCAAGAGAATATTTTCCTCTTACTTAGGACCTCAGGGACTCCAGCAGCCCTACTTCTTCCACTGAAAAATTCTCAGCTCTGCCTTATATGAATGAATAAGCAAGCTCAGGTATTCCCAAAGCAGACTACCTTCATTTGTTTCTTTCCTCCTTGTCCCCAGCTTGCCGAGTTGTGGGAGGAAGCGCTTCCCTGAGAGCCGGCAGTGTTCCAGACTCCTCCATCCTCCTCCTCTTCCCAGCTGGAATGGCGAGTTCCTGTCACCGGCCCGTCACTCTCCCCCCAGCCGTCTTGCATAGATTTGGAATCTTTAATAAAAGAAGGAATCAACTGTATGTGATAGCTATATAAAATGACACAATAATCATTCCTTGTAAATATAGCATTCCTTGTAAATACAACATATATGTAACAAAACCCACAAAAATCATTCATTGTTAATACATACTGTAATTTTATCTACTATATCTATATGACAAGGCAAACATTGTTCATATTTTAGAGAGCAGAAAATGGAAACCCATTGAGGTTTAATGACACAGATAAACCACAGAATTAAGACCTCCTAGCAAAGTTTTAAGGAAATTCAACTTTTCTTATGCAAAAGTTTAGGAAATGCAAGCTTGAAAAGAACCTGTCACTTCACATCTCTAGTCCACTTAATGAGCATGGTTTACTATAGTTTTAGCTTCTTAAAAATACACTGTGTGACAATGGACATCTTAAATATGGAGTATGATAAAGAACACCTGTCTACCTTGTTTGGAGTGAAGTTAAGAACATGAAAAGGGGAAGAAAAAATAAGATTTTGTTAGATTTTAAATATCAATATTATGGTGAAAGAGAAATTCACAGAGAACCATAAAAATTTGTAATTTATTAATATGCTAGAGGCCGACCACGAGAAATTGCACGGCCCCGCCCACCAACGTGCCACTATGGGACCCCATACCCCGCTGCACCTCCTGGTGACCAGCCATTTGGTAGTTACGGCATTAGGGCGGCCACTGGATTTTTATAATACAGATATACTTGAAATGTGTTAGACACTAATAAAGATCCTAGGCAAAGACAATGTGCAAGCAATGGTTTTTAAAAGACAGGTGGAGAAAATTGGAAGATAGAGAATGGGGAAGGAGAAAAAGAGGAAGGGAGGAAGAGAGGGAGAGAGGGAAATCAGTGATGAGGAAGCAGAATGTCAGTATCCATGATGTACTCTACCAACATCCCCTTCTAAATAAAGATCTTTAATTTGGAAATTGAAATAAACCCTTTACTTCCCTCTAAAAACACTGTATGGAACTGAAGGATACATTTTGTGGTAATGAAACTCTACAAATTGATGGGAGAAGGGAAAATTCACTATCTTGCCTACACACCTCCATCCATACCTTCAATGACAGAAATTTATGGAAGGGGTAGTTATTTGATTTAGACAGCCGTATATGAAGAGTCTAAAGCAAAAAAGTGGCTCACTCCTTGAATGACTGTTGCCGTCCCTTGGGACCAGGCCTGTGACAGTCATGAAGGCACCCATGATGTACATAGGGCACAAGGGGGTTGGTTTCTTCTAACAGCGGCACCCCCGCCCCCACATGGCCCGAGTGAACCTGACGGACCCTCCATGGGGTTCATCCAGCTTCACATGAAGGACTTTCTGACTGGATAGTAGAGACGGAGCTTGGGGGCTATTTTCCCTGCTACTGAAAATGCCATTGAAAATCAGGATGGTTTCTTCTGCATGAGATATTTCATTATTAGGTAAGCACTAGAGGCCCAATGCACGAAATTCGTGCACTCGGGGGAAGGCGGGTCCCTCAGCCTGGCCTGTTGCTCTCTCTCACTCCAGGATCCCTGTGGGGAGGTCAGGGAGCGGGCCTAAGCCTGCAGCTGGACATCCTTAGTGCTGCTGCAGAGGCAGGAGAGGCTCCCGCCACCGCTGCTGCACTTGCCAGCTGTGATCCCGGCTTCTGGCTGAGCAGCGTTTCCCCTTGCAGGAGCACAATGCCTATCAGGGGCAGCTTCTGCACTGAGCGTCTGCCCCCTGGTGATCAGTGCACGTCATAGGCACTGGTCATTCTGCCGTTTGGTCTATTTGCGTATTAGCCTTTTATTATATAGTATAGGCCCTCTGACAAGCAATGGGAATTGAATGCCCAATATAAACAACATACTGACCCCTTTATAAAAACAAAGACATCCATGCAACCCTTCTTTCAGAGAAAGGAGCTGAACTTTCAACGAATGTCTTCTTATGAAAAAGATAAAAAAGAGTACTTATTATTAATCATAGATATTTGTAGTCTAGAAACAATGATTACTGGCTAATGACCAGCATCAATTATTAGGCTGTGATGATCTAAGTTTTTTCCTCTGAGTACTACATATTCAAATTACCCAGAGAAAGGGAAACTATAACTATAGTATGACTACAGATATTCCTAAAGAGTAGAAAACATTTTTTAAAACTGGAGAAAAGTGAGGGTTTTATGATGAAAGAAAGGTGATTCTGAGGTTGAGGAAGACATAAAGATCCTGAAAGTACTGCTAAAGTACACTCTTGTGCCAAGGGTGTCTTAATGTCTTTCAACAGCTTTTTGGATGTATTTCATTTCTACAGAATGGTAGCTCCCATGACAATACAACCAATTTACAATGAAAGTCAAAATCTTTATAAAGTGATTTTTATGAAGTGGAAGAGATTCCTAATTGTAAAACGTAGTCAAATTACATATAGAATAAGTACCTAAAACCACAATCCAATGGAATTTTTTTATTCTTGTTCAAATTTTGAGCATTCAGGATGACCACACTCCCCCCAAAAGACAATGCCTTAAGTCTGCAACATGGTAGGAAAAAGATGTTGGAATACTTTTTAGGAAAACTACAAACAAATGAAAACGGGCATTTGAATTTTTCAATTGGGGAACATTCACTGAGACATTCCAAAGCATCAGTTTACAAAGTTTTGCAAATTACTGTGATGACATATTGCCAGCTGGATCAAGTACAGCTTAGATTTTCAAAGTATGACATGCTTTGTTTAAAAAATTCAAATGAGGAAATCTTTGCCAGGTTCAAGAAACCTAAAATGTTTCTATGTGGGTGGATGTTGTATGAGAGACAAAGAGAAAATAGGAAGGAACAGAAGAATGAAGTCACTGGGCAGCAGAGACTATGTCCCACTTTAAAAGCCAGGAAACTCTTTTTCAATTATACTAAGAAGTAGAAATGCAAAATAGATGTGGAAAGCAATATTTCAGTTACTGGGGGGGGGGGGGGGGGGGAAGAAAAAGGAAAGGCACCACAACACCATTTCAATTCTGTCCAGATACTAAACCTAACGTAAAGTCAACAAAATTAACTTGTGACTTTTAGTTCTGTGTGCATTTTAACTGTGTGCATTCCCCCCCCCAAAATATATTTTATTGATTTTTTTTTACAGAGAGGAAGAGAGAGGGATAGAAACTTAGAAACATCGATGAGAGAGAATTATCGATCAGCTGCCTCCTGCACACCCCCCATTGGGAATGTGCCCTCAACCATGGTACACGCCCTTGACAGGAATCGAACTTGGGATCTTTCAGTCCACAGGCTGATGCTCTATCCACTGAGCCAAAACGGTTTCGGAAACTATGTGCATTTTAATATATGCCAATTCAAGTCCCCACCATTTGCTACTAACATTTATTAAAGGTTCAAGGTCCTGAGTCTCACTGTAATAACAGTTTAAACACTAAACAGGCCTCCCCAAAATGTCTGACCACCCTTCAAATTAGCAGAGAATCCCTCAAAAATAATGCTGCATACTTACTAGGTTTCATGGCATTTGGAGCGTTGGAAGGTGCGTTCCCCCAGCCTGTGGTCGATGCTCCTGTGTCATCCATTTCGCCCCACCCAGGACTGCTTTCGTTTGGCTCACCCCAAGCTGCAGTACCATTATCTGGAGCAGGTGGTGTGCTTTTGCTCCAGACTGTAAAGACAGGAAATGTGGCTCTAAGAAAAATGTCCTAAACAGCATACTATCCAGTGGGGTGGTGGGGGAACTGTAATTCCACTGTCAGAAAATGTACCATAAACTTATGAAAATAGATGAAATTACATGTACAATGCCCACAGCACCACTGTCAGAAACCATTTGGAAGCAGCCCAAATATCTATCAGAAAAGGACTGGTTACACCAATTGTGGGTCATCCATAAAATGAATACTATATACAAAGCATTTAGAAGGACAAAAATGTTATTTGGTGACGGGAAGTTTTTAAGTATAATGAAAACAGCAAGGTGAAGAACACTGTATATAATGCAATAAATACTATATTTTGCTATAGATATGAACAAAATGTTTGAATGCGACAAAATTCTAAGAGGCTACCTGTGGGAAGAGACCCTAGAGACTAAGATTCTTTCATTACCCTTTGCTTTTTGTATAGTTTGAAGGTTTTTACTATAGTCATCCCTTGGTATCTGAGAAGGATGGTTCCAGAACCAAAATCCACGGATGCACTAGTCCTTTATGTAGAATGGAATAGTATTTGCATATAACCTATGTCCATTCTCCATCATTCTTTAAATCATCTCTGGATTTGTATTTAATTTGTATTTACATTATTGTATTAGGTATTAATACTAGATAAACAGTTATACTGTACTGTTTAGGGGAAAACAAGTTTGTACATATTCAGTACAGATGCCTACATAGTATACAACAATGTAATTCTATTACCCCCCCCCCCTCATAATTTCTGATCTGTGGTTGGATAAAATCTGTCAATGAGGAACCAGTGGGTCCAGAGGGCTTTCTACATGGATAGTTTTTGTTTGTTTTTTAATATATTATCAGGTTTTATTCTAGACAAGGAATTAATGAACAATCCACATTTCCTTTCTCAATCTTTCTAATATCTGAAATAAAAAAGAACTAGTTAAAAGTAATCATTTTCTAATTGGTCATAATTAAATTTACTGAACACTTCGGGGAGTGAGTGGAAAACTGGATATTGTGATAATACTAAGAAAATTAAAAAAAAAAGGGGGGGGAAGCAGTTGAATAGTGCATCCCTCTAGTTTGTTGAACTATATGCTTTATGGGGGCATTCAAGTTGACAATGCCAAACTAAGAATGATATTACCAGCACTACTTTTCATATCCTAGGTATAGTATTTCCTATTCCAATAAGGTGGACAAGTGATTATCATGAGATAACCTCTTATACAAAGTACTCTACTTTCAAAGATGGTCATTAAAATTATCTGGAAAGTGACCAAACCCTCCAGATCCCAGCTTTGCTACAGCATTTTGATGGCCTCTGCAAGAACAACACACAATCCTCCCCTGGGGAAAGAGATACACAGAGGATGTGGCCATGTGCAGAACCAGAATGGAAATCAGATCTATTTCTGCTACTGTTTTAATTCCTTATTTTTAAATCTAGAGCATAGTTTGTTTAGCAAGATATGTCTTTAGGATTCTGCAGACCAATACAATTGCAAAAGAATAATTTTGGGAAGCTAACACAGGGATACCATCTTTTTCTTTTGCCAAGAAAGAGCATTAAAATGTACTACTAGCATCTGTTATCACTATCATTTTATTTAAAAAAAAAAATTTAAAAAAAGAGCTTCTGTTAATGTAGGAAAGATTTCCAGAACACAGCCAAATTGAATAAATGCAGTTAATGAGGAACCAAAAGATAGATATAGAAACAGTATATCAACAAGTAGACTGTCAAATTACAGTAGGGAGGGGAGGAAGATCTGGGAGAGATAATAGATCAACCGAAGGACTTTTATACATGCATATAAGTACAACTAATGGGCACAAAACTCTGGGGAGGGAGGGGATGTGAGGGAGGGAAGGAGGGGGGCAAAAAAAAATTAATAAAATATATTAAAAAATAAAATAAAATAAAAAATGACCTGCTTAGAAGCTTGCAAGTTAGAATTAGTCCGAGTCCTTTTCATGGATATTTCTAGACATATATACCTACAAATGCATCAGAATAAAGCTGTCACTGAAGTATAAGTGTAACCAGTATCCACCTTGGTCCTTGGATTTTTTAATGTGATTTCCCTGTCATTAAACAATGTGTGTTACAGATAAAAAAATAAAAAAAAAATAAAAAAAATAAATGCAGTTAATAAAAATACCTTGTTTTAGGATTTATCTTCATCAAAACCTGCAAGAAAAGCAACTGCCTACCTGATGCTGATTTACCGGTCATTGGGGTAGGCAGATTTGGTTCTCGAGGTGCTGGGCCTCCTTGGGCATTCTTATCCCACAGATTCACATTCTTGTAGTTATAACTGTTGGGGTCTCCCCATGCTGAAGTGCCATCATCAATGTCCATTTTTCTACTAATTGACTGTGGGGATGGCTCTTCCCAACCACTGGGTTCCTCATCCTTAGAGGTTACTGGCTGCGGCCCACTGCTCCAGTTGCAATTGGAAGGTCGTCCATTGCCTGGAGGCGGTGGGGGTGGGCCTCCCCATGAACCAGAAGCTTCTGGTTGTGGTGGCGGTGGTTGCTGTGGGTGTTTATTCCAGGAATTGGGCTGTCTGCCTGTCTCAGTCCATGCTGGAGATCTTTTGCAATCTTCCCACCCGCCTTTGGAAACGAGGCTTGCGTTCCCACCATTCCCCCAAGTTCCAATTTCATTCTGCCCTCCTTCGCCCCACCCAGACACAGGTTTACTTGCAGAACTTTCCCAATTGCTGTTTTTTGTTTGATCCATTTCCTCTCCCCAACCATTCTTCCCACAAGTCCATCCTTGACTGGGCTGGCGCCCACCTCCCCACCCCTGATCCTTGCTGGGATTCTCATTCCAAGAGGAAGATGCCTTTTCATCTGGTCGACACCCTCCCCAATTGGAAGAGTTGTTCTTATAGTCATTCCAGCCTCCTGTGTTCTTGGGGTCTTTCCACTCTGTCGAGGCTGAGAGCTCCCCCCATCCAGACTTCATTTGATTGCTTTGGCTGGGTGCATCTCCCCAGCCCCCTGAGTTCTTGGTCTGTGTGGCAGCGCTCTCCCACCCCTCAGTTCCTTTGTCAGATTTCCCCTCAGGCCTTGGCACCTCTTCAATATCCCACACCGTGTCCTGTTTAATTTGAGTTTGGCCCCAGCCAGTGTTGGAGAGCACCCTGGGGTCCAAATCAGTTCGGCTCAAAAGAGTCTGCAAGACAGCCTGGCAATCAGGATGTGTGGGCCTATATGAGCGACGGCCGGAATTATGACTGTCACTACTTCCTGCCTTGTGGTTGCTTCCAGTGCTTTGACCTCCAACTTCACTTCCTGTGGAGCTGGGAGATCTTCCCCAACAGGGAGCCTGGGCATTGCCTTGGTTTTCAGGGAGGGGGTGGCCCTTTTGATTGTCCCATGCTCCAGTGCTAGAATTTGGTTGGTTTGGACCACTCCATTCTCCAATTTTCAACTCATCAGACCCAGTCGGCTGTTTCCATTCTCCCTGAGAGACCCCAGATGTCATTTTGTTCCCTTCACCCCATTTGCTGTCATTAGAGTCCTGAGGGCCAAAGTTCCAGGACCCACCCGTAGACCTGTTATTGTCCCAAGAATCATTTTTTGACCCAGTTGACTTTTGAACAGAAGCTCCTTTCCAGGAGTCCTCTCTCTCTTTTCCATTGTTCCCATTGTTTCCAGAATTGCTTTGTCCAGAGGCTGTGTCAGTTCCAGAAGGCCCCCTAGCTGCACCCCAAGATCCAACACTCCCAGTCTTTCGATCTCCAGTGCTTTGTGAAGGGGCATCAGTGCTCCTGGAGGTGTTCCCCAAGCCCATCCCAAAGGGCATTCCCTTATTCTCCATGGGGTTTGGTGAACTTAAGTTCAAGGAGTTAGTGTTTCCATTTTTTGGTCCATCAGTGTTATGAATTTGAGCCTGTTCTCTGCCAGAGACAACAAAATTAACACCCGCATTTTCCATCTTTGACTGCTGTTCCCTGGATGCCTGACCTACTGTGCTAACCTGTGCACTGGAATTACTAGTATCTGTTTCCAATGCCCCTTTCCTAGAATTTCCTTCTTGAACCAGTGCTGGCCAGGCAGATGGGTTGCTATTTGGGTTAAAGTTGCTGAAGCCAGAGCCAGGTCCAATTCTATCCTGACCACTCACATTCCTCCAATTTCCTAGTCCATTGTTGCTCTCTGCAGTAGAGGTGGAAGATTGAACAGATTTAGCCTTAGGGTCAGATTTCCAGACCCCAAGATTACATTCGTTCCCAGAACTTGCAGACTGGCACTGGCTCCCTTTTCCTTTATTATTAGTGGTGCTTCCTGGCAGAGTGCTCTTCTCCGAGCCAGGGTTCGAGGCACTGTTGTTATCGGTGGTGTTTTCGGAAGAAGACTCAGTATCTTTGCTGGCAATACAAGGCCACTCTTCCATGTCAGACCCGTCTACAATCACCTTGTCCCAGATGTGAATTGGGTTGGGGGAGGTGCCGTTGTTGGAGGAGGCTCCCGGGCCCCAAGTGGAATTTGCATAATTTGAAGCAGCAGCACCTCCAAGGGTTGACTCTGGGAAAGAGATTGTCTTATCAATCACAGATACACATGCATGCTCTAGGAATATCTTAAGCTCAAACAGCCCCCAAGAGAAGTTGTCACATTTCCTCACAAACTAGCTTATCCACCCAGTTGCCTGTCTTACTGAACTGTACCATCCCTATTTTAGTCATTTCTTCTCTTTCGTCTTACCTGGTTTGTATACTTGCTAAGTTTAACTCCACATCTCTCAGAGCTATCCCTTTGCCACTCCTACTGATAGAGAAGGGCCTTCTTGCATTGGGACAATGCAGCAACACCCTGTTTGCTCTGCATCTCCAACCTACTCTGAACACCCCCCGCTGGAGGGCCTTTTCTAAGGCACATCCCTTTGTTGCACAAGAATAAAGCTAAACTCCTTGGCCTTTTGATCAAGATACTCCATGACCTGCGACCAAGTGACTTTTCTAGTCTCACCTTCCACTATTTCTATGTAGACATCTACATTTCAGACTACTTGACATTCCACAACTCGCACCTTCTCACCTAGGCATCACTACACATCAGATCTTGCTGCTTTTTTCATCCTAAATTCATACAATGGAATTTGCCCAGTTTTCTGGGCCTAGTTCAAGTGCCACATTTTTGACTGAAGTTTTTTATGAGCTCATCAACCAAAAATAGTCTTTTCCTGTCTAGAGCCATTTTGCTTGGGCTAGAACACTGTGTTCATGTCTTCCCTCCCCTGTTAGTGCTTTTTAGGCAGAGACCCTATCTTGCTAACATTTGAATTCGACAGTGTCCAGTCCGTCGCTGCTCAGTGAGCATCGACGGAATAATAAATGCCACCCAGCTGAACACCAAGGGCAGACCAGCATGAATCAGTGTGTATGCCCAAGGAACTTAATCTGATGAATTAGTCTGGCTTAGCACATATTTTGATGGAATTTACCTTATTTGGTGGGGAGCAAATGACATGTTTTAAGATTGATAATTTCTTCTAAACATATTTAATTCCTTTAACCAAGTAGCTTAAAATCAATATGACCCTGAAAAAAATATTACATAAAGTGATATAAAAGTCAGGAAGCACAGACTCACAGATTCTTGAAATTTTGGGGCCTCCTTGGTTTTAAAAATGTAAACAAGAGATTCTGGCTCACACTGGACCTATGTCCACATCAAGGCCTGGCTAACCGGGGATGCAGAAATAAATGCCGAACACAGTCTCCCCTCACTTACTTCCTTTTGTACTTGGTAATAAGGGGCCAAGAAGAAAGAGCCAGGAGGCCTTCCCTGAGAGCTTTGGGCCTGGCCGGATGGTCACCACAGGGAAGACCCATGCACAGGGTTTATCTCTGCATGAAGCCTACGTCATCGTACGTTTCTTTCCACCCTTGCTCTGCACATGAGACAGCAAGAGAATTTTCTGGGCAATTCTATATATTTAAACTTAAGACTACAATAAAGTGTCCTTGCCAGTGCTTAATTGTGCTCAAGTTCTGAGTTTTAATACAATCTCAAAAAAAACATTTTAAGAGATAAGCTGAAATCTGTTAATGAGCTAAATATGTATATATTTGAAAGTCCTTAGCTATTAACTACTTTAGTATTCACACATTGGGGGCGCGGGGGTGGGGGTGGGAGGAATTACAAAGCTTCTTCTAGAGCCCTTTAGCTAGAGATGCTGTATCTACAGATAGTTTTTAATAATGTTCAAAATCAAGGGCCCCCTAAAGCAGTGGTTGGCCAACTCAGCCAACAGAGCCAAATGTCAACAGTACAATGATTGAAATTTCTTTTGAGACAAATTTTTTAAACTTAGACTTCTTCTAACACCACTTCTTCAAAATAGACTTGCCCAGGCCGTGGTATTTTGTGGAAGAGCCACACTCAAGGGGCCAAAGAGCAGCATGCGACTCGCAAGCTGCAGTTTGCCAACCACTGCCCTAAAGAAATACTTTAAATATTTTTAAAAAGTCTAAAAAATCCCTGAATTCTAGAGAGTAATTTAAGAGACCATTCTTTCTACCTACCTAGCACTCTGGGAGCATAAACATGAGCAGCTAAGCTTCTAAACACACTCTTGAACTAGCCCCACTTCCAATCATACTTGGAGCACATACTTGTGGAGACAGATAGAACAATGGAGGCTTAAATTTGTAATGCTTTTGTCTGAGAAGGGAAAAAAGGCTCCAAAAAGCGATGACAAACAGCAGCTATATTAACCTCTCATGCCAAGAGCATGCACTCACTGGACACTAAAACCCAGTGTCAGCAGAGAAATGCTGATGTACATTTCATACTGGGACCCTCTCCCATCTTTTGAGTACCTGCAGTAGCCTTTATAACTAATGTTTTTTGTGGACTTTACACCAGGCAGTGTAAGTGCTCTCCCTCTCTAAAGCGGCCATGAGTTAACCTCGGTGACACCGATTCCTCACCTGGTACAGTCCCACTCTCACTCTGCAGCAGCGTTCCCGTCACTTGTGCGTTGTTTGGGTTTGCTCCGGGTGCTGTGGAGGGAGGAGGCCCTGCCCCACCCCCGAGGAGCATGCAGGATGGTGGAGGGGGCTGCCCACGTTTCAGTAACACTTTGTGGTCCTGCTGGCAACGGAATCGCGGAGGCACCTCCCGAGGCATGTAGCGGGCGGCGCTTGGCGGTTGTCCGTTCGGCACTGCCACCCTTTTGGCATTGTTGCCACCATTGACTGGTGGCGATGGAGAGCTGCCAATTGGGCTGGCGGCCGTTGGTTGGCTTAAACTTGGTTTCGTCACTTCGGGCACTGGAAGAGATTGGGGAACCATGTTTGAAATCAAATACATTTTTCTAAAGATTAATTTTAAGAATGCTTATGGTGGACAAATTACAATAAGACAACCCAATAATACTATTTCTGACAGACACAGTCTTTCCAAATTGCAGCATCTGCCGTTTACTGAAGACAGGTGGATGGAGTGGGTGTGATGGTGACAAGTATTCAAAGATACCAGTATCATGGAATTCCATTGCATTAAGAGGGAGAAGGAAGCAATGGTGCAAGTTCCTGATGGGCCTCTCAGCAGCTCTGAGGGTCGCTGTGGTCCCCAGGCAGTCTTTGGTAAAGGTTTAAGGCTTTCAGCCCAAGGGACCTTTCCTGTCATCACATTCTTAAAGTCCTACCTCTGAGAAACTTTCCTCAAAGTCCCTGGTCCAGGTAGGCTAAGCACTCTTCACCTGCTCCTGGAACACGCCGTCCATCTCTCTTTACTACTGAATCTGCCACATTACACTGAAATTCTCCATTCACAGGCTCTTCTTCCTCACCAGATCTTAAGTCCCACAAAGCCAGAAATACATCTTTCATCCTTTTGTCTTTTTAAAAAATATATATTATTCATTTTTTACAGAGAGGAAGGGAGAGAGAGAGCTAGAAAGATTAATGAGAAAGAAACATCAATCAACTGCCTCCTGTACACCCCCTACTGGTACATGCCCTTGACCTGAATCGAACCTGGGACTTTTCAGTTCACAGGCCAACGCTCTATCCATTGAGCCAAACCGGTTTGGGCCATCCTTTTTTCTTAAGGTCTGCCACAGGAAACCTCAATGTAGAGGATCACAAAATCAACTCGCTGGTTACTACAGCTACCCGAACTCAAAGACTCTTGCTTGGCACTATGTGCAAATATTAGAAATGTTATAATCATTTTGCTTTTCCCCCACCTCTTTCCATTTTAAGTGTATTATGTATGTTTTTTTCCAACTCTTTATTTAAAATAAAAATTTCACAATGTAGATACTTTCCTATTATTTTAATAATGTTTTCACTTTCTTTAAAAAAAGGCAAAAGGAAGTATGGGGATATGTTGGGCAACTGTCAAGCTATACTCTGCAGGACCCTCGGCTCAACACTACAGGGGCTGTTCTGGATCTGTACTTTCCTTGCTTCATCCTACCAAAAGACTGCCACCCTTTCCAAGAAAATTTACCTGGCAACTAGAGGCTGGCAGTGACACAGAAACAATCACTGAGCCTGATAAGTCAGATGATTCTGAGGCCCAAATCCCTGCCATCCAGAGTAACGTTAGAGCCAGCTCTGGTGACAGTAGTGTTCTGACTGCTGAAGCGATGCTGGGCCAGCAGGTCACTTGTTGAACTGGCTTCTTTATGAGGAGAGAGATACATCATCAGAAATCAGGGTGGCTCAATCTATACCAACTGGACACTGGTGAGTACTCTGAGTAACAGGAGAAATGAGTAGATGCCTGCAGTTATGTCAAAGCAACCCTGGTGTCTGAGCCTACCAGGAGACTATACTGGGCCTCCCAGTAAGGAAGATAGGTCAGAATAAACGTATGACTTAAGAGAATAAACTGGTCATTATCTAATATTTTTAACACAGTACCCTCTGCTATAATAGCCAATGGATAAGTAACTGGTAAATTGATGAATAAAGATGAATTATTTAATGATCCGTTTTCTATCTGTGCTTGGAAGATTCGATACTGCATGGCATTCTCCATACCGGTTCCCCGTCATTAGAGGTGCGGGGGGGGGGGGGGGGGGGAGGCAAGAAGCTGGCAGAGGCTGGGAGGGTTCTTCCCAAATGTTTTTTTTAGGAGGGAAGGAGCTAGGTTCCTATGAGGCTGCTCTTCAGCGAGGTCTGTTGCATGCCTTGACTCATTCCCCTAAGATAGAATCACACAGTAAGACCAGCCTACTGGATTGAGGTCTGAACACCAGTTGAACTAACTTTACCATACTCACAGCACAACCAAAGAAATCTAGTGGGTATCACATATTGTGTCACATTCCCTGCCAAAGCCCCTCAGAGATAGAATGGATCATAAATCATTCATTTACTCCCCCAAAACATTTACTTATTTTACTCTAAGGCTTGAATATTTTCCCCGTTCCACTGCCTTAATTATCTTATACCATCCTCATATCAGTTTGAACTTCTAATTGCCTCTATTTCTGGAAAACTTCAATAAGATGCTACTTTTTAAAAGATAAAAATATGAAGAAAATTCTGAAACAGGCAGAACCAATACAAATTACTATTTTCTTTAAACACCTTGAAAGGGATTTAAAACATAAACAACTCACACCCTACATAAAAAATATAGAAAATGTTTAAAAGTGGCAAATATAAACACGCCCTAGAAAAGACATTATTTAAGACTGAAAATTTCTTGTGAAGAATAATCCGTTAAAATGCAGTCCAAAAAAATGTCAGAGATTAATGACCCACGGTGAGCAGCCCATGCGCATTGAACAATTTTCAGTAACCTCTAAGCACTGTCTCAGTTCTTTACCTTCCACTCACTCCCCAAACCCAATGCACACTGGCTTTGGCCTGAACATCTGCCCAGGAGCTTCTCTCCTCATTAAACCACAGTGACCTTCATTGCGGTCTAATGCAGTGGCTGGTGGTCCGTGGACCACTGGTGGTCCATGGGGTCCAAAAGGTTGGCGACCACTGGTCTAATGAGCACTTGCTGGACCTTTTCTTCTTTGACTTTTCAACTTGACCTTACTGGCTGTCCTCTTTCTCTTTGTTTTTGTGAGACCTACTCCAGCTAGCTCTTCAGATTTTCTCTCTTCCTTTGCAGGTTTCTCATACTTTTTATTTTTATTTTTTGAGTTTTAGACAGAAAAGGAGAGGAAGAGAGAAACATCAATATGACCGTGGAACATCGATTTGCTGCCTCCTGCACGCCCCTATACTGGGGATCAAGCCCGAAAACTGGGCATGTACACCAAACAGGCATCGAACCAGCAACCTTTCAGTGCACAGGATGACATCCAAGCAACGAAGGGCACCCTGACCAGGGTGGTTTCTCATACTCTTGGTCAGGGGTCAGTAAATTTTTTCTGTAAAGGGCCAGAGAGTATTTTAGGCTTTGCTAGCCATATGATCTTTGTCCTGACGACTCATTTCTGTACTTTTAGGGCAAAAGCAGCCACAGACAATGTATAAATGAATAAGTGTGGCTGTGTTCCAATAAAACTTTATGACATTGAAATACAATTTTTATACCATTTTTATTGCTGTAAAATTGTTGTTCTTTTATTTCCTTCCCAACCATTTAAAAATGTACAAAACATTCCTAGCTCACGGGCTGTCCATCAATAGGCAGTGAGTCAGATTTGGCTCAAGGGTCACAGCTGGCAGCTCCTGCTTTTGACTATACTCTTAATAAGAGTTGCAAGATGGCAGCTGAATTTGGTCATAAGTTTAGAAAAAAAAATCTTAATGTGAAGGTTAGGCCTGTGTTCTTCTCATATTTAAGTTATTTGAACACAAACTCTCCCAAGCTTAGGCTTTAACTACCATTATGTAAAAATCTTTCCCAAATCACTATCTCCAACTCAGAACTCTCCCACCCTTCCTGTCACCCTCACACTTGCTCCCCTCCCATTATCGCCTGGTACAAGGAATGGAGTCACTATCCAACCAACTGTTCAAGTCAGAAACCTGGAAGGTGTCCATTATCTAATCACCATTATATTCATTCTACTGAACCAAAGCAACTTCCTATCACCACTGCTCCTAAACAGGTTCCATCCTCATTACCTCCCTTCTGGGTCACCTACCTGAGCCACATGTCTTATAACGCCTCACATTCATTCACTCCCTAGAGAAAGCCAGTTCTGTCCCTGAAGAAAGAGCTCCCACCACAGTGTTAGAACACACAGGTGTCTCTGCAAGGTGTGAAGGATACTGCAAGTAATTTAGTTTGTAAATTATTTACTTGGGGAAAACTCCCCACCTCAAATATCAATAAATAAGAGTAAATTCAAAATTATCCCAACCACCAACATGCACTCACTGTCACATGCCTTCTAGAATACGCTCAAAAAACAGAGTTGTGCCCAATGCACTGATTGGTCCACCACCCCAGGGATGCTAATGGAAAGATGCTGTCCCGCAGATATGTCCCAAGAAGGTAAAGGTTATGACTTACTGCTCTAGACAACAATTATCTAAATTTTTAAAATTTATATTGAGCTGGAAGCTTTTCTGTGTTGATATCACTAATCATTGGTACTTTTGGGATGAGAATGGGTCTCAATGAACAAAACACCCAACAGACATTTACTGGGGAACTGCTAAGTGTTGGGGGGGGGGCGGGGGCCCTTCAAATCTTTGAAGACAGGTGCTGCCCAGTGGGAAGCCTTGCCCTGGGGGTTAAATACCCCCGGGGTGTTTAACTTTCCTAGTGGTGACACAGGTTCACATTTCTTAACCAATCTGGCCCAAATGCCACACCGTCCACAAAGGTTTGTCTCTGTTCTTTCCATAGTGTGGTGCCCATTACAGGAATTGCACATCCCTTTCTAGATACCATATTTTTACTAACGCAGCTAAGGTCAGGTTAGCTTTTATAAACTAATCATTTGATAGATAATGCTCATCAAGTCAACCATCACCTGAATAGTTTTTTAACAAAGCTAAATTGCTGTGTCTACATTCCTCCATTACGTAGTCTATCTTTTAATTTCTAACCTTACCCTACCCCCCATTAAATCTACTGCATCAATCCCAGAAACTCAATTCTAATATCCAACAATGAGGGACATTAGCTTCTACCGGAAGTGCTTTTGATTATCTGTCACCTGGGCAGGAGGACCAACTCTAGTCCATGCCTTCTTATAACTTCCAACTGAAATCCCTGTCCTGCTCTCTCCACAATTTTCACTTAAAAAAAAATAATAATGGAAGAAAAGTTTTGAAAAGGTTGAGTTCAAAATCATGACCCATATGCTTTTAAAACAAGTATCACTTTTTCTAAACTTTTTTACTTCCTGAAAAAATGTAAGGCTACTAAAAAGGCCACTATAAACACCACGACAAGTACTTTTTGTTTGTCGCTACTGCTCTTTAGTGACTTCAAAACACCACTTTTATTACTCTACACCCACTCTCACTTAGCCAGTGCACTGGAGGCTCAGTCAGTGAGGGTGCAAAATCGAAACACAAAAGAATCTAATGACTTAAAAAGGAAAAAAAAGAAACAAAACCCAATTTACCTTTGGTTTTTTGTTCCGTGACCTGCAAAATAAATGAAGAGTTTCAAGTCAATGAGATTTGCTTTCTAACTTGACATTATAAGACAACTTTTAATTCCAGTCACTCAAGTAATTCTAGCTACCAAGTACGCAGACATAGTTAGAAACCCAGAAAAAGGGACTCAGGTCAGACATCCTTCTAAAGACAGTGGCCATCATAACTTACACGGCATCATTATAAAGGAAACTAAAAGTTAGAATAAAAAGCATTCCGCTCTCGTTAAACGATGAAGTCCTTGAACCAGGAATGCTGTTTGCCATTTTGGTTGTTAATGACTCGAGAAAAGCAAATGGATATGGCCCAGAAACTAAATTAGCCATAGGGACAGAAATATCCCCCTGTGAGTAAGGACTCACACACTTGATCTCAGATCTAGGAAGTGAAAGTTCCTAGGCCCAGCATCAAAGGCATCAGAGGTCATGGGAGGAGAACAGGACCCAGAACCAAGCTGTGCTACTTCCTGGCTGTTCCATCTGAGTTTTCTATTTATCTTTTGATTGGAGATAATAACAGCTTCTCCTTGCAAAAAGGTTGTTTTAAAGATATGCTATGCCAATGTTCAATAAATGTTGGCTATTTTTATCAAAGTTTATGTAAATCAGTATGAAATACAGTAAGAGTGAAATATGTAAATTTTGAACAAATAAAGATACCTCTGTTGAAAATATTATTTTATATAGTCACTGATATATCTTTAGAAGTGATTAACCTAAAAAGTTGAACAGGCTGAATATACTAATGGGTTATTAGGAAGTTTGGAAATGATGATTAGGAGACACATGAAAAACTATTTCTGTTAATAAGAAAGGAAAATAAAGATGGGTGCCTAATTATACATGCCCTCTAATACTAAAACAAAGCCACAAAAGGGCATGCATAAGTAAACATCCAAAAGAAAATGCAAAAAAAAAAAAAAAATACACCACAATTCCAATAATGGTTATCTTACATTATTGAGATCATAGGTAATTTTGAACCCTTTTACCAAGTGTCAATCTTCAAAGCATTTTTATATTGTTTCTCTGGCTTTTACATTAAAAAAATTCATATAAAAGAGATTTTGTTTGTGGCTAGTAATCATATTAAATTATTGCTATGGGTGTTCATAAAAACATGCTCATCTTTGGAGGGTCATGTCCTGTAGCTAACCAGCCCATTTCACAACAGATTGCAGCACACAGTGTCAGACATTGAATCTGAATGAAACAATCTACTTGTGTGACCTCCTGGAGTGGTTTTTACATTCTTGCATTAAAAGACAAGCTAATTCCACTGTATTGAATTTCTGGTAGACAGTGTTTCCCAGTTCTAATTGTTACAGAACTCAATTCAACTGGATGCTTTTTGTATAACCCCATTTAACCAAGAATGAACAGATTTGTATCCACATATCAATTCCTTGTGGCAATTTAAGGTTTATACTATTGTAAAGATTTCTTAGAATGCCATTATGAAGATCAGTTATACAGAAAGTCAATGTCTTCCCCAAATGTAAGTGACAAACCCAAATTATGTCGATGTGTCTTATGATATGGGTTCTATTAGAAGAGATGTCCCCCTGATGGTGAAAAGCCGGATGATCAAAGCATGCGTTCTGCCAACAATGAACAATGATCCTTTAGCAGCATCAGCCTAATGAATGTTAATGGAATCCTTCTCTGACACCTCTCTCATGAATGGAAATCTAACCATTTACACGTGAAGGCTCTAGAAAGAACAAACTGCCACAAACATTGAACACAATGGGAAAAGGTCATGTTTAGTTTCTGTGCCAAAATAATTTAATTTAGGTTTAAAAGTCAATTCTTTAAGAAAATTATATTGCCAGAACTCATTCTTGACTATTCATTTATCAAATATTTTTCTGAGTGATTCCTATGCACCAGGTACTTACTATCCTAGTTACTGAAAATGTAAATATGAATAAAATCTTGAGAAACTTACAATGGGGAAGACAAAAGCGAAGAAATTGTTATAAAGCAATGGGCCAGGCAGCAAAAAAGATGTGGAAGGGCTAAAAAGAACCACAAATGTTTGCTGACTGACTGACTGACTGAAGGACTACATAATAGAACCTCTGGCATGTTCTACACAATTCTTTGCATCATAGCATCCCAGGTGAGGTGTCATCTCTATAATAAAGTTGGAAACTACTAAGACAATCACATGGTAAACTTTTCGGTCTCTCCTTAAAACTGCTAAGTCACAATTTCATTCTGAAATTTCACAATAGCTCAGTATGATAGAACAATATCAAAGGCCACGTTTTGGCCTAGATCCCATGTCAGCCAATCTAGAACATTTTTTGAACAAAATGACTGAGTTTTTATTATTCCAAATTTTCCATTTGAAATTTTACTTATGATGGTTTTCCTATTTACCAGAACGTAACCAATTTTTGATGCAGATGCAAGCACACAGAGATAGACCGTCCAGCTGAATAAACTACATTCTCTGCATAAATCATCCCAATTCACTCTTTAAATTTTTTTTAAAATTTAGTGAAAGATAGGGATAGAGAGAGAAGGGGGGGGGGGGGGGAGAGAAACAATGCTTTGCTTTTCCACTTATTTATGCATCCATGCTTAATTCTTGTATGTGCCTTGACCAGGGGACTGAATCCACAACTTTGGTGTATTGTGACAATGCTCTAACCAACTGAGCTACTGAGCCAGGGCCCCAATTCACTCTTGAATAAATCCAGACCATCTTTAATTCTGATCATTTTTCCATTAGTAGGATCCACAATGAAAGTTTACAGCTGCTACTGTATTAATTGTTTCTAGATATTGACATTTTTAGGTTAAGAGAACACTACTGTCGACATGAAGGACTAGAATGAACTGCACATATCCTAGTCAACTGCTCTAGTTGCATCTTCTTGTTCACAGCCTTTGCTCAAGTTCCCTAGTGTCCAGCCTAGTAAGCATCCATTCCCACAGCTGAAAACTACAATTTCTAAATGGAATGCAAATGCCACACAGGAAAGGAAGCCTTCACTGAGGTTCACTCTCCCATCACTGCAGTGGGAGGGTCAGCATGTGCGGGGCATGGGGGCAATGCCTGTAACACTGCACGGCTGGTGGGTGGACCCGCTTATCTGCAACCTCAATGTTGTGAAATGTGGCTGCATATCCCGAAGAAACTTTTTAAAAGTATCCGAGTCATTATCTAACAACTTTAGCCAGTGTTTCCCAAACTTTTGACATATGTGTACCCCTTCTATAATTTTTGTAACACTGAGTACCCCTCATACTCATGAGAACGTAGAATTAGGCACAGCTAAGCACAGTGCAGTGCATATCTCCACCAAACTCCGGTGCAACGCGTACCCTACCAAACTCTTCCGTACCCCTGGGGGTACACGTACCACACTTTGGGAAACACTGATTTAGACAATTCTAACAAGCTTAGGTTAGAAGGAACATAGGAGAGGTATCCTATAGCAGGAAGATGTGATGGCAAGCACAGCACTATAAAGAGAAACAGAAACAATTAAAAGCAGACAAAATCTTAAAGAGAGCAGCAATCTATCACAGTAGCAAACAGTAATCAATATTCCTTTTAATGAAGAAAAGATAAAATATATTCCATAGGTTTAATGTGGCAGGATCATAGGCATTCCAATTCAGAAAATATCTCCAGTATTTTTTTGTTACAGCTGGCATTCATAAGTGAACTAATTTCAATAATTCAGAAAACTGAATTATGGGAAATGCTCTATCCAACAATGCTGGGAATACTTGCAGTGTCCCTTTTACCTTCTATAGCACTGGCTGTGTTTGCCTTGAGTTTGTGCTAAATGGACAGCTCCCTCTGCACCTTTAACAGTGCTCACCTCCCTGAGCTTATCTGCAATAAGCTGGGACCACAGCAGGGATCCTTAAACCCGCCTCTCCCGGGGAGCCCCTGCTTCCCAAGTGCTACAGATAGCGGTAACGAGCACAGGAGGAAAATCAATTTTGTCTCCAAAAAAGAATCAAAGAAAGCAACCCTGCCGAGCCAAAGCCCACACCAGGTGATGCTCAGAGGGGAGGGAAATGAGCTCAGACAACGGCCAGGGCAGAGGGGCATGCTCTGCCACAAAGAGAGCCTGGCAAGGGCTCAAACCATCTCTACTCCAACAGCCCAGGAGACAAACACTTCAGCGAAGACCTTCCAGCTGACAGCTGTCTGCCTTTTTTTCCTTTTAGCATCTCCTTTACCCTAAGCCCGAGGTCGGCAAACTGTGGCTCGAGAGCCACATGCAGCTCTTGGACCCCTTGAGTGTGGCTTTTCCACAAAATACCATGGCCTGGGTAAGTCTATTTTGAAGAAGTGGCATTAGAAGAAGTTTAAAAAATTTGTCTCTCAAAAGAAATTCCAATCGTTGTCCTGCTGATACTTGGCTCTGTTGGCTAATGAGTTTGCCGACCACTGCCCTAAGCAAATCCCTCAAAGCTGTGCAACACACTCTTCCCCAAAACACTGAGCAGGCCCATCAGATCCTCTCGGAGGAGGGTTTTTTATGCAATTATCAAAAGGCAGGCTCAGATAAATGACAATGCTGGAGTAGGCCAGAAGAGCAAACCGCGGTGACTCGGAAGTTATTCTATAAGCTTGCTTAAGCAAATAGAGATTAATTATGATACAAATAGGGAAATATGTCAAGAGTTTAAGTGTTAGAAAATGTCTTGCCTTTCTCAATAGAGTAAACCCTTGATTTTGTGGAATTTGATTTAATGAACAAAACTTCTGGTCCATATGTCACATGTGAAAATCAACACCTGTTAGTTACAAAATGTTTTTAACCAAGATTTGCTTGTAATTAACATGTTACTTATTATTAATAATTTACTGTTATTTTTAACAAATTTTAGTGAATAGGTCCTATGTTGGAAAAAAATAGCAGTAATTTCACTAACATAAATAAATACTACAAACCTATAACTATAGTCTACATATTTAAATCAAGAGTCATGACTTTTCAACAAAGTCCGGTGAAGGATTAGCACATCCTGAGCATGGTAATTGGTTCTATTGTCAAAGACCAAGACTTTCTGCAGTAGTTTGTTTTTTTAATAGTGTGAATGCTAATTTTATTCACAAATATGTATGAGCCCAGAATATAGCAGTTTATTGGATAATAAAAATCCAGCATTCAATTCATCAGAGAGAACAATGTAATTATTAAAAATAAAAAGAACTTCAGGACTTAGCTTCACTCTATAAACCAAATCTAGAGGAGGAGGAAGACGGAGTTTGGCACCACAGAGGTGATGTTTTTGGAGCTCATCTGGTATGTTTCAATTGTCAAATGGCTGTAATGATTAGTCAGATTACATAGCAGCTTATTAAAATGGCCAGAACTTTGAATTGGGCTTTGCAATTCCTTGTTGTGATATCTTTTTAGCCAGTAACAAAGGTTAACTACAAAAGAAAAAACCATGGGCCCTCACAGGACTGTGTCTAGTCCCCCTACCTCTCTACACCTCCCTTTGCTGCAGCTTCATTCAAGATGTGCTGTTCAGAGCTGCCTTATTCTAACTAGTTTCCCGGCACAGTTGACTGGTCTAGGCTTAGGCATCTGAGATAAGCTGGCTTCCTCTGTAGCAGGTTAACTTGAGCTGCTGATGTTCAGACCTGCGCTAGGCCACAACCCAGCTGTGTGCATTTGTTTATTTGTGGTGACTAATAAATGCATGCATTACTAGACCTATTCAGTATAAATTTAAAATTACTATAATATATATAAAAAACTTTTCTGTGAAATTAAAATTTTCATGCATATTTAATTTTAATTACACAAATGTGTCTAAGTAAGTAAAAACATGTAAACTAATTTGTCAAATTTTTAACATACGCATTCAGAAAACTTACTTTGTTATATAACAGACTTTTGACTTTAATGGACACACCCTTGTTCAAATTAGCCCATTATATCCAAGTTTTATTGTATTGTTTACTGCTGTTTTAATAAATTCAACTGCAGCATTATTTAATAGACTTAATTGAACAAACCCACCTTCTGAGTGGCTTCTTTTTTCTTTTTATCCTCTTTCTTCCTTTTCTTGTCTTCCATTAACTGTTCTTCCCTTTCTTGCTCCTTCTCTCTGTTAAAGTAATGTCAGACCAGAAAGTTAAATATCTGCTGGTAGATGGTGTGTAACGCAACAATTCATCTCTGTGACTGAGCAGAACACGGTTTTTTACTTAAACTGAAAGAATGCAAAAACCTAATTTAGTTATCCCTAATTTTGATCTGTCACCCCTTTTGCAAAACAGGACATTAAGTTTGGCTTCAAAGAAGTCCATTAAAGTGAGGTTTTTTTTTAGATCTTCCTAAAAGTGCGAGTGCACATACACACACAATTAGTGTATTGCCATTCATCAAAGAACGTGATGTGAACGTATGTCAATGTACAATTCGCTTCTGGCAATAGTCTTCACAAATAACAGAATATATTAATTCAATTATGGCACAAAGATATTTATAATTTAGATGTTTCCCCAAACATTTTCAGAGTGATTATCATAATACTCTATGTCCTATATCTTGTGTTTTTAAGGCTGAGTGTCCTATATATCAGGTACTTTTTATTGGGTGAGTTCACAGTTGCATCTTCCAGGCAAAACCTGAATCAGGACAATCAGATTTTGCTCCCCTCAATTAAAATAAAAATGATACATAATAATAAATATCGTAGTTAAAGAAATGTGATGAAATCTTAAGAAACTAAGATAATGTAATTTCTACCTCACATTTGAAAAGTAATTTTAAAATTTAACATTTATATAGGTATGTCAAATTTCAATATTATGTGTCAACTGGGAAAAATGCATAAGCAACTATTGTTGTAACTTCTAAGTTCAAGTCAGGAGACCCCAGATGCCTTGTTTATTGAATTTCTGAATTTGAAGGCAAGTTGGAGATCTAGTTCCCAGATCCCCAAGTACCAAACAGTACTGGTGAGTTTAGGGGATCAACACATCAAATTCCTGGTTTCACAGATATTATCTAGGAAAGACCTAAAAGTCACATAAATTAAAGGGAAACATGAAGGTGAAAGTTTGTATATGTGGCAAAAATCACAAAGATGGTTCCTGAAGGATTCAAGTTTGGGGAGTAGAAATCACTGGACCCACACAGAAGGAGCTGAGGACCAACCCCCCCGAAGTGAGCTCTCATGAATATGTAATTAATGCTGCACTTAGATAAAACAAACAACAACAGGAAAAAAATGTTTATCTACATGTCAAGTTTTCGGTGGCTCTGTCCACATTCACATTTTCTCCTTGTACAACCTCCGAGCGTAAATATACAAAAGCCTAATGTGCACAATTCACACACTCAAGGTAATTTCCATGAAAACTTTAAAACTGCAATCATGAAAGAGATTTTATTGAAATTTCCTTAGGTTTAGAGCTGGATTTCTTTGGAGTCAGGTTATGTGTACATTGGTCTCAGTGTGAGTCTCCTGGTGAACACCCACTTGCGGCCATGCATTAAGAAATGGATTTATGAAAACGGGCAAGATGGATGTTGACCACCTAAGGCAGGCTGACCACAGATCATGTTATATTTTGGTTTCTAGAGCCTCTTGCTTCCTCTAGATGCAAGTGGAAGAAGATGGGGTTCCTCATGACCCAGATACTATAACTTGGTTTTCAGATTTTTAAAGTGCAACTGGTTACAGAGAAAGAGTAAACAGCATGAATATCTCCTACTTAAATATACGATGCTTTAAAAAGTATTAAGTTGCATTTTTCTAAATCTACTCTAATATTAAAAGTGCACTTATAAAACGCAATGTAAAAGAAGTGGTAAGTCTTTAATGAGACACATTCTTAAAAAACAAAACAAAAAAAACCCTAACATTTTCAATTATTTTTTCCTATAAACAGGTAATTTAGGGAAAGGAATTAAAATTCATGTTCACTACAAGCAGATTTACTTCCAAAACAAACATTTTACCAAGCTTTCCAGGGACAGACTGTGCTTTCACTCTGATCTTTTCTTGTGTATAGCGGTAGAATTGAGTCCTCTCTTTAAATTTCACTTCCTTCGGAAGAATTTATTTTCTAAAACCAAACTCAAATTAAAAACTGGCCATTCACTTAATAATGGATCACATAATGTGGGGTTCACCTTTTTCCTAACTGAATTGTACTCCATCTTAGCTGCACATTAGCATTGTTTGGGGAGCTTTAAAATTTCCCAATGCTGAGCCAGAGCCCACGCTGGGGGAAGAGGGCATCCATGCAGGGAAGGCATCTAGGTGGTGGTGATGCAGGATTGGTTACATAAAGGGCATTTGATTAATACATAAATATAGTTGAAGGTATAGAGGGGATTAATGATGATGAGAGGGAAAAAATGTTCTCTGTAAAAAAATAAAATAAGAACAATTAAATAAATATATTAAGGATAGTGAAAGTTAGGTTTCTCACTATTGCAAAAAGGAGTTACCAAAATGAAAAGAGAGAATGCACCTTGTGGAGTTGGACCAGAATTAATTATTGGCATGAATTCATTTTTTTTTTTAATATTCTATGAGCTACCTGCATGTTAATCACTTAGTAGCTGCCTCAGTAATCAGATTGACTCTCATTGTAGCAGTGCTTGGGTTCAAGTAACCCTAACTTTACTTAATAATAATGGCCCCAAAATACTGGAGTAGTGATGTTAGCGATTCCGACATGCTAAAGAGAAGCTGTAAAGAATATGGGTTTAGTGAAAAGGTGTATCTTGGAAGAGACATAGAATTTATAGGGTTTGGCACTCTCCACGGTTTCAGGAATCCAATGGGAATTTTGGAACATATCCCTTGCGCATAAGTGAGGAATATATTTGTGCGTGTGCATGTACACACACACACACACACACACACACACACACATACACACACACACTAGCTCTATTACTGAGAGGGCTTGAGGAACAAACACCCAAATACCAATAAACATACCCAGCATCCAGATTTTGGCTTCTAAATACCATTATTCACTAAAAAAAAAAAATAATAATAATAATAAAAAATATTACAGACTTCTTTGGAAAAAGAGCTAATCTGGAGATTAGGGCAAGGAAAGTACAAGATGAGCCTGGATTACTTGTCAAGGAGCAAAAAAATGTTCAATAAATAATGAGACAGGTAAAATGGTCATAGAAAGGCCAGCTGAAGAGGGTCCTATAAGCCAAACCTGGGAAATGTATCCAAAAGAAAAGCCTCAAAGCAAATAGTTAAGTCATTTAACAAACATACACCGATTACTACTGCATCCCAGGCACTGACCTAGCACTGGGGATAAAACACTGGGTGAGAGAGAGCCCCTGCCCTCAGGAAGCTGACATTCCAGATAGGAGACAAAGCAAACAGGCAGTGCCAGGGAGTCATTACAGATGCCAAGAAGAATATCAAACTGAGAAACAGACCAGAGAGTGACTAAAAGAGAAAGGACAGGAAGGGGTGGTCTCCTTTATACAAGATGTTCACCTACGGCCTCTCTGAGGCGTTTACATCTGAGTAGAGACCTAAGTGAGAAAGCTCTCTGGGAAATGAGTGACTGCCCAGGTGGGGGGAATAGTAAGTGTAAGGCTCTGGAATGGAAAGCGCTTTCGTGAAACTCAGAGCTTTTTTCTGGGGGATGGGGTGCTATACTTCTTTTCTCACCTCCCCCCATAGCAATAGCACCGCCTCTCCCCCCGACACACACACCCTTCAGAGTTTTCTGCACTTACTTTGTAATGGTCCTCACTCATACCAAAAGAACTGGGCTTCGTATTTCTTAAAAGGGTCCCTTCTCCCTCCCTCCTTCTCTCCCTCGTTCCAGTGCCTACTTGATGCCAAGCACTGTGCTGGAGGCTGAGAATTCAGCAGCAAACAAGATGCAGTGCTGCTGACCTTCCTGAAATTCTTAATTTAATTAATTAATTAATTTTAAAATGTTTTTATTGATTTTAGAGAAAGAGGAAGAGGGAGGGAAAGAAGCATCAATGAGAGGGAAACATCAATCGGCTGCCCCCTACTGGGGATTGAGTGCACAATCCATGTGCCCTAACCTGGAATCTAACCATGACCTCTTGGTACATGGGACAACACTCAACCAACTGAGCCACACTGGCCAGGGCTCAGTTTAAATTCTTAAATTGCTATATCTTGCTTCACAACCTGGACAACAGCTTCAGAGCAGGAACCTCTGTTCTTGCTCTGAAGACAGCTTGCAGTCCTTTGCTGTTTTCAAAGTACCAAATCTTGAATATGTGAATTCATGGCTTGTGATAATCAAGGTAGGAAGTCAACTTCTTTCCACAAACTAGAAAACCATGGCCAATGGTTCTTGAATTCATATTCCCATGCCTCAAACATCAAGTAGAGGCAGGGCTGACAATTTCTTACTTGAAAGCAGTAATTGCCAATATGCGGATTAGAGTGAAAAGATGGGAAGAGCCTAAATTCAGCTAAACAACCAGGACTCATCTTGACAGGAAACTATGTTCAGCTATAAAGAGAACTGTCCTTTCTTTAAGATGGGGATAACTGGTTATCACAGCATCAAAATCCATCCCTCATGCTCTGTGGTCAGTAAGTGTGGCACCGTTGGTTCCAGTTTTTAACCAACTCCACACAATTGAGCTAGACAGAACTGAACATAAACAACTGACCCATTCAACGCATGAAACATGCCAGAAGCAAACCAACACTGTGAAAGAACAAGCTATTAATACATCAACAATTTGGATGAACCTTCAGATAATTATGGTAAGTGAAAAAGCCAGTCCCAAAGATTGCATATTGTTTGATTCCAATTATATGACATTCCTGAAATGACAAGTGGGGTTATCAGGGGGTGAGGTGAAGTGAGGCAGTGTGGATATATCACAATACTGATTCTTGAGGTGGGGAATGATTCTATATCTCGATGGTGGTGATATATGAACCTACATGTAATAAAATTGTACAGAACTAAACACACACACAAATAAGTACAATAAAATTGAGGAAACATAAATAAGGCCAGTGAGTTATTCTGAAGTCAGTATCTTGGTTATGAGGTTAGACTGCAATTTTTCAAGAAGAACTCGCTGGTGGAACCTGGGTAAAAGGCACAT